ACGCACGCCTCGCGGCGGGTGCGCTGCAGCAAGAAGGTATCGGTCCCTTGAGGGTGAGTCTAGCCCTGCTCGCTAGAAAGACCCCCCCTCTCGCTATGGGTCATGCCTACGCAATACCTTGCCGAGGCAGCGAGGGGAAGAAAGAGAGTGTGGGGGGCGCAGTCGATGTGATAATTGAACTCCTGTTATGCCACCCTTTCCTCCAATCGTCTACTCCGTTGGTCGCGTTCGGAACCGGGGAGGGGCGATGGTCCGTGTAGACCCATCGTCACGCGACGGAGGCGCTGCGGCAAGTCGAGTCGTTGGCGGGTCTGCCGTCGTCAGAGTACGCGTTGCATTCCCTTCGGATTGGGGGCGCCACGTACGTGGCAGCGGGGGGAGCGTCGCCAGGAGTTGTGAGACGAGAGGGGAGATGGACTGGGGGAACGGGGTATCGGCCTTACGTAAGGAACCATGGAAAAGATGTAGAGTAGGTTTCTAGTATCTTGGCATCGGAGGGTGATACAGTGAGGCAACCGGGACAGGGTACAGAGTGGGGTGACGTAGTCCCACAGGCTGGTGAGGGCGAGCTGTAAAAGAAGGGGGTGAAGTATGTGTCATGAGGGTATATTGGTTGGTATAATAGTGGGAACCACGGTAGGGGGGGAGAGAGAGTACAGAGGATCAGTATGGTAAACCAGTCCGCGGTTAGGTTGGGGGAAGGCATGACTTCGAGAGTGTGCCTGATGGTGCGGTGACTAGTTTATACTATGGTGTTGTGGACGGGGATCCCCGGGTTCCACTTTTCTCTCCCTCCGCCTGTTCAAGCGTGGGGGGGAAAGACCAATTAATACAATTTCGAAAGCAACGAACAAAGTAGAAGATTGCAGAGACAGAGGCGTTGAAATCTGAGTTTTGTGAGGAGCGGACGATGAAATATATGCTGGCCAATCAGAGGCAGCAGCATGGAGTCAGCGTGAAGTGTCTGAAACCTGACTAGAAGAGTAGACTTGGGCACTTGTTGGTCTGCCCCAAGGAAGCACGAGGGAGGCTGCTGCAGCAAAGTGGTATTTCGGAGGAGATCTATTTCTTTCCCACCCACCCACCCTTTTGCCTTTGGGGGTGTCAGTGGTAGGGCGAGGACGGATCGCCAGTAGTGGTGAACGAGGAAGGTGTGGTTGTTTGCCGATACTGCTGATGGGGCGAGGGTCTCTCGGGTAGTGGGACCTTGCCCGGGTGTGTCTGTCACGTTAGAGATGTTTGCCGTACTCTCAGGGCGGGTGAGAGCGCCTAAGTTGCTGTGCCACGAAAGGAGGCGACGGCACAGTGACTGGATGTGAGGTTATGGTCGATAGGGTCGGCTGTAGCTGTGGGCCGGCGGTCGGGGGGCGGGTGCGAACCCAACTTGGGGGTTCGTACGGTACCGCGTGTGTGCGACCGTTGATGAGCTTGACGAGGTAGCGCGACTAGACATGGTCATGCAGTGGTGTATTTCACGGTACATCACAATCGATGTGGTTTATGTGCGGTAGACTATATTGAGGTTGGTATATCGAAACATGCGTGCAATTTGGAGAGAAGAGAGTGTGTGGAGCTCACAACATCCCGGGGGGAGTGGGCGCGCAATTGGAAGTTGTTGCTAACAACTGGCGCTGAGTGAGAGGGGGATGAGTGCTGTGCTAGGAGTATTTCCAGTCCAATTTTCATGAACTTACACGTATAATCAACATGTATGGGGCTTTCAGGTGCCGGGCAATTTTTGTTTCTGATTTTTGCATTTCCTTCCTGTGGAAATGTAGGTCGCGCGGCATTATCTTTGCATATATACGTATGCTTCGGAGTATGTGTTGTATGCATGGATGCCTGATTCTGTGGGGGCCAGGCATGACTTTGAGAGTGTGCGTGATGGTGCGGTGACTGGTTTATACTGATGGTGTTTTGGACGGGGATAGGTTGAGATCCCCGAGTTCCACTCTCTCTCCCGCCCCCTGTTCAAGCGTGGGGGGGTACGACCAATTAATGCGATTTCGAAAGCAACGAACAGAGTGAATTTTTTTGTAGNCCATATGCTCTCCGCTGTTGTACGGGTTTGATGGCACTCTCCACCACCTCTCTTGAGGGCTTGATGATGTGGATCGTCCTCAGAGATCAAAAGACAGAAAAAAGGCAACACGAAGTACTTCTTGTAGACTGAGTATTAAGAGAATCGGGAAGATGCGACAGTCCAAAGGAAGAAGAAATGTCATTTACAAAATGGACGACTTGGGCCGGTACTTCGACCCAATGTAAGGGATTGGTGAGGCTCGAACCGACTTTGACTTTTCTTTCCTGCGGGCGCTATCTATAAGATCGAACGTCCTCCAACCGAGAGATAACCTCGTCCTCGGTGAGGGACGAGGTAATGCACGACTCTTTTTTTGGCGGCATCAGATGGACCGCCGGTAGATGGGAAGAATCTATCCATACCAACACCCAGTTGCAGTTGCAGCAGCAGACCGCTCGCTACTTCTGCTGTCTGTGCGTCGCTACTTGTGCACTCACGGTGGTGCGTGGTTCGTGCAAAGAGCGGCCCGCAGGCCCGCAGGACACAAGAAAAGGGGGGTAAGCAGCAGAAAAAAATTTGGGTACCCCACTATCGTATATTCTACCGGACCCCCGGTGCGCAGCTAAACAACTTTCCTATTAGCGGGGAGATTCCTTAACGCGAGCGTCCTTAGAGCGGGGTCGACTGTAAAAGAAGTGGAGGATGGGGGTCGGGGAGGCAGACGACAGATTCCAATAATGGGAGAAAAAAAAAAATGTAGCCTTCCTTGTGTACACGCTCACACGTGTGCACGTGTATACTGCGTCCGTTAGCTTCAAACTTCAAACTGCCCCCACCTGCAGCAGCGGTAAGTGATGTTCTGGATACTGTTTTAGTGTGTTTAATCTCAGGATGTGTTGCCACCGTTCCTTACGCCCTTGTCGCCCCGTTGCCCCAAATAAATCCGAACCCCTCCCAAAAAGTGAAAAATGAACAACGAAAAATGTGGCATGGAGCCAAGAGAGCCGCAACGCCGCATCTGACCCCCCCCCCCCTTTCTTCTGCATGAAAAAATAAATAACAAGAAACACACAGGTAGGTGCCGTGTGTGCGTGTCAAGTGTCGAGTGTTGCTTCATATGCCGCAGGGCTGCACAGTTGAGCTGCTGCCGTGGGGACCCCGCAGCCAGGGGGGGGGGGTACCTCCAAGTTACCGCAAAAATTACGTGGGATGAAACTAGTAATTTATAGGTACGTCTGGAATGTGTTACGGGTACTTCCGCGTACCGCCGTAACATACATCCCTGAAAAAAACAGTTGGACGTGTCGAGTGTTGACGAGTGTTGTCGATTGTTTCCTTTCAGAGAGTCTGGACTGCAATTGAGCGTGTGTGATACGATAATTCAAGAGGCAACCCCATATTTTCCTGTTGAGTTGGTCTGATCAACCTCCTCATACATCGCCGTGAACCATACGCATGGACCTGGAGAACCAACTGACCCCTATCCCATCCCTGTGTATTGTGATTGGTCTTACACATCTGCACAGATCAGTAAAACTCTATTCTACCACGCTGGCGAAGCTGCCGGGAATTGAACTCGGATCTGATCCTCGAGGCCAGAGGATAGCGGCAGCGGTTTCTGCCGCTACATTGCTGCTGGTTGGTGCGCTACAGCAGGTTCAGCATTTTGGCTGTACGCCGCTGCAACTGCTACTGAAATGTGGTGGTTCTTTAGCCAAAGGCTAAAGATAACTTTGGGGGGGGCCGCGGATCGTGCTCGCGTGCATTGCTCTAGCTCGGCAGCCGACAGGGCGATCCGTGCGGTGCATGCGTTCAGCGAACGGTTTTCAGACCAGGCGAGACTCCTCCACGTAACCCAAGCGGGGGGGCGACCGATTGTTATCGCCGGCGGTGCTTGGAACGGTACCAGCGACGAGTTAGCTCATGCTGAGAGCCCTGTGGAGGAACATGGGCCTCGTCGGCGTTCCCCTATTTTTTCCACGCCCCAAGGCTGGTCGGCTGGCCTCGGAAGGCCGGAACGGCTCCTGGTCCTAAGACTCGTGGCCTCGGCTACTGGGAGCGTGCGCGGAGAGAGCACAGAGCTGAACTCGGACGAGTTGGAAGTGATACGACGTTTTCCGGATGAGGTCGACCGCCTCTTGATCTTCGATAAATCTATCGGTGGGGCCTTGAGCAAGCCGCACGTTGATATTTCAGTGGAGCGGACCGATGCGGTGATTTTGGCGCGTGGTGACGTTATGTCAGAGCGCAGTATTGCTCGGATAGGGAGCCAGTGTTTTGGCATCTTTCAAATCGAAGGGAACAAGTTGCTCAACGTCTCAGTAACGGGTATCCCCAAGGTAGAGCTTACCAAGTTTGCTCTGGAACTAGAGGAGGCGTCGATGCGCGATATCTACCTGTTCTTGGTGGCCTGTCTGGCCACCCTTCTCTATAACACGGTGTCCGGGCAGCAGGGTTTCTTCTCTGTGTTGGCTATCATTGGCGGAGGCCTCCTCCGGGAGGAGTCCTCGCGCGTGGATGCGGCCAACGCCCTCAAGGACTTCCATGCCGGTAAGACTGCGGTAGTGCGGAGAGCAAGAGAGGGGGTGATCGTCCTTGGCTTCCTAGTCCCTTTGCTCCTGACCGCGTGCGATTTGTCGCGCCCTGGGGGTTTGAGAGTGTGGATTATGGCGGTGGCTTCAATGTCGCTAGTGGTGGTGAGTGGGTCACGTACCATCGGTTGGAACGTCGAGGACCCCCTCACGCGGTCAACTTGGTTAGTCCAGATGGCACTCATGCCCGTATGTCGGCTCGTGGTGTCTGGCTTCGTCTTCTTCTTGGTCGGGGTCGGCCTAATCGTTGGGCTGCTCCTTGCTGGGGCCTTGGAGAGCCTTGGCAATAAGCGGTTAGTGACAGATGGGATGGACTGTCTCCTGGGCACTTTGGTGATCGGGTGTGCTGTGACCGACGCGCTTGTTCTTGGAACGCCTCCCCTCTGGGAGGGGCTTGTGTTCGGCGGCGGTGCAGCCCTGGTCTGGTCCAAGTTGTCAGTGGGGGTCCTTGGGTTGTTCGTCGCCCTCACTATAGAGAAGGACCTTAAGCATGGGCCTCGGTCATACGGCGTCCTAAGGCCAACATCAGTAGTGGCTATGGGGCTGGGCGATTACCCTGCGAGGTCGGAGAATAGCGGCGGCGGTTTCTGCCACTACGGTAGGACACAGGGCGTATCCGCGCACTACGTGGTCTGGGGAAGCGCAGCTGGTCCGGGTAGGGTTGCTGGGGAGTTGAGCATTGGGTTGACCGTACCCACGGGTGCGGAGTGGGTAGGCGGTGTGAGCCGCGGCGCGAGTCTGCCGCATGGTATCAATGGTAGAGGCACCTCACCTTTGGTTGGAATGTGGGAGGAGGTCGGTTATGGACCTTCAATGTTGCTTACCAGGGACGAGAGCGGGTGAGCATGTGAGGTCAGGCTCGAGAGTCGAAGAGGGTGGACCGGAGTTGGGGACGCAGTAGATGAAAGGCGCGAATATCTACATGCGCTCGGAAAAGGAGGAATGGCAGCTGGGGTTTGTCCACGGCGTGTCGCGGGACCCGGGGGGACCGCGCCCCTTTACACATTTACATGTGCACGGTACAATGTTGCGCTGCAGCCGGAGAAGTCCTCGGTGGACGTACATGCACCACCGTTTTCGTGGTGTTCTGTCATGCATGTGAAGTCGCGCAGCGTTAAGCGTCATGGATTCTAGTCGCATAGAGGCTTGCCGTGTTGCGTTGGGTTCCGAGGGCGGTCTCTGCCCATAGAACGCGGACATGATCAATTGTCCTGCAGTCGAGTGGAAGTCCCGGTATGGTGTCTGATTGTAGGAATCCGAAACGAGCCAAATCTGACAGTCATTTACGGCTCTGTCGTATGCTTTGCTCTGGTGTGCGGTTTCGACTGCGGGGTACACGGTATTGCCCCGGGGGAGAATGAGTTTGCGTATGGGGGAGAAATGGGGGTAGTAGACACCAGAGAGAAAATACCGTCATTTGCGCAGCCGTAGCCCCTGGGAGGGGATCTTTTTTTTGTTTGAAATAATACAACCCCGTGGGTTTATTCCTATTACACTTGACCTTTCGTTATTCCTTTCAGGAAGCCAGCGAAGTCGCGGGGAAGCAAGATGCATCATCCGCAGCGTGCTACACCACCTTGGTGCGCGCGAACAAAAAAATTGCGGTTGAATTAAAGTACCACAATTATGTCGTTCAGGGAGAAAAAAGGAGTTGGTTTTCACCGAACTGCGTGTTTGCATGACATGAGTCAGGTCTCGGAGTTGGGTTAGGTTTCACCTAACTGTGCTTGGTTTAAGCTTGGAATGTGTCCGAATTTCACCGAACTGCGCTTTTGCTTGGAGTAGAGTAGGTCTTCGGGTAGGGCCGGGTTCCGCCCAAACGGGGGGTGTTGTTCTACGTACATGTGCAAGACAGGAGAGACCACGTTTAGCCAAACAACCGTGAAACTACGCCTTTTGCCCAACGTTCGCTTCGTGAACATCACAAAACTGCATTGAACAAAAGACGAAGGGCTACCTAGGGGGTCTTGGCCAAGAGTATGCACCCCCAGGCCGTAGTTTCACCGTGTGTACACTCTACCGAGGGGACCTTGGCCAAAAGTATGCACCCGTAGACCGTAGGTTCACCGTAGGTGCGCCGCCGTTGGTACACTCTACCGTAGGGGTCTTGGCCAATAGTGAATACCCCTAGACCATAGGTTCACGGTAGGTCACCGTAGGTGCCGGCGGTGCATCAAAAAGCTGTGACTAACGGGGCCGATTTATGCATATGCGTCGAAAGAATTATTCCTAAATACGAAACGGGAAAAAATATTTGATGGTGTCAAAATGAGCAGATGGCTTCCCCCTCCTCGCTTTCGAACCGCCGAACGTGCGCCGAGGCCTCAGATGTCAATGATTGTACATTTCTTCCCGTCCAAAACCAAAGAGTCGCCGGCGTCATAAGACACCGCTTCTACCGTGACTGCCTCGGTCGTCTCGTCGAACGAGAGCGTAACGTCGGATGCGTCCGACGGCGTCAGCGTGATGGCCTGGCCCCCTACGGCGTCCTTTAGAATCGTTCACGGCGACGCTGGCGCCCCGCCGCACAAACCTTGAGGCCGTCGGGCCGCGCCCACGAATCAAATGATGTCGATCGCTTCGCCCGTGCTGAACAGATCATTCATGACCTCGGACAAGTGGTTCACGGAAGTCGCGCCCAGAGAGGTCAGGTCAAACCTTCCACTTGCGCTCAGGAACTCGCTCGTGTCGTCGTTTTCCGCCAGGTTGGGCAGCGTTGACACCGTAGATGCTCCTGCAAGCGTAATGCCACCACTACCGGACGTACAGCAGTACAGCCGCAGCGTATACTCGGTGTCAGGGCTCAGGTTCCTGATCACCTAGGTGAGGTCGGTGAAGCTCGGCTTGGCAACAACCGCCGTCGCCGAGCCCGTCTTCTGTGTAGTAAGCCTGTGCCCCTTGGTCCCCGGTATCTCCTCCACTAAAACCACGAGGCTCGTCACTCGGGGGGTCATGGTGACCACGTCCGGCTCGGGGAAAACGAATTCGAAGGTGTACAACACGTCGTCGGCGTCGGTGGCCATCAGGTCGACTATGGGAAGACCATTGTTCGGATCGGTGGCGAAGCCCGTGAGAGCGGCGCTCATGCTGCTCGTGTTCTGTTCGAACGTCATCCCGAGAGAGGTGTCGACCCCCGCCACCTTGTTCGAGCTAGGGTCCACGCTGTGTTTCACATAGCCTCTCATGGCAACGATAGACGTCTGGAGGTCCCCAAGCGGTTTAATATTCCAACCCAACCCCTCGGTTCTGTTTCCGTTTCCCGACCTGTCGACGATGTTGCCGATCATTAAGTTCATGAGAGTGTACTTGACGCCTCCAAAAGGGACACAACCCACAAAACCGCCGGCGTACGCAGCCGAGCTGCTCACGGTGATGTCACCCTTCATTGAGTTGATGAGCTCGCTGGTGTTGTTCGCGCGGTCCTCTAGCACACCAGTCGATGCAGCCACGTGATTCCCGGAACGACCCAACACACGCTTTTTGCACATCTTCCCAAGAAACAGATAAATCATTATCTCCAATGCCTACAGTGTTGTATTTTCAACTACGGAATGCCGGCGACCCTTGTGTTCAGCCTTTCCATTACGTTTCGCTCTGCTGGAGAGGGTCATACTACCGTATTACGCGTGGAAATTGCTTATCTCCCCCACACGCACTATACCAACACTACCGATACTTGCCTTCTTCCCCAAGCACTCTCTGGCCTCCCGCGGGCACCTGGAACAGGCTTAGAAAGCTAAATGGGCGTTGAGCCTGGCCCGCTTCTACTCTGTTGATGCTGCGGAGGAGCGACGCCATTGTAGCAATACCCCCTGTTTGGGAGAAGTTGGCCTTGTACATCCTGTGTTATGATTTGCAGATGACGTGATCCAACAACGTACCTCTCGCAACCGTCACCAGCCTCTCTTGCACGCACGCTAGCGCACCAGGCTAGCTTCGTACGGGTTTCAGTCCTCGATGGAAGACCTGTCTATTCGGTGATTGTTACGAATAACCAAAACCGCTTCTCTTTCTGACCACCAAACGCTGCTTGTGCAGGAGCCATCCCGCCGGATCTGGGAAACTTGAGTGCTCTTCGGCTGTTTTCGTTTAAAAACAACGGACCAAAATCCATCTGGCGCCGTCGCAAGAAAGTTTCCAATGAGTACAAAGAATGGACAAAGCACACATGAATGAATGGTTTTGTCAAGGGCAATGGCGAGCACAGACGTGGAGGACACCGCTCCTTGTACACGTGTTGTGAGGAACACATCGCACTCAGCAGCCAGCCAGCTATCTCCCTTAAGTTGCAGCTCTTCGCAAGCACCTGCATCATAATAGGGATAGGACCGTCAGCGTACGATCAAGTACGAAATACTGTCCATAGTTCATCAGACCGAATTTGGTGCGGGTTCCGCCAGTATTGGTGCTGAGACTTGTTCTCACTTTCCCACAGGCAAGCGCACTGTTCATATACTCTTACCCGTGTCTGAGTACCTTGAGGTTGGTTCTTTCCCTGGGGGATTCCCGTTGAAGCAAAGTTTTGTTTGGCAATCGCCATGTCACCCACGTCGCGAATGGTCGAACGCAAGTTGACCAATGGCATTTTATGCACTCCAGATTTGGGGTTTGTTGACCTCCCGGGTATGTCATTTCATCCTCGTCATGACTTACTTGATTAAGCGGTCGCAGGCCTCAGGAAAGGTGTATGTATCATGTTGTGCGACTTCGTCGACAAAATTGCCCCTCTGCGTCCTCGCTTCATCTACTACACCAAAGCTGTTGAAATGCTACCAGTGTTGCTCTCACGATGCGACGAAGAACGATATGCGGTTCGTGTTTGATAGTCGGCGCTTGGTGTCTGTGTCGTATCCCTGACCACAACAGAATTTTTTTTCGTCGCTGTTGGCCTGAAATACCTCTGTGCCGCACGAGGTGCCCTACGTTTGGGATGAGGGACATTTTTGTCGACCTTGCCCCGTCTAGGTTTTTGTAGGAAGGTTTTGTATCCAACAGAGATCTGATGAATCGCTCTGTTTTAGCATTACCCAGGTCACATGAGGAACGCGTGGGCTTGTGATTGCCTCTTTCATCAGATGTAGATCTGACTCGGTGATTCTTGACTCGTGCATCCTACGACCGCAGTTTCGCCCGCAAACTCGGCTTACAGTCTTCTTTTGACCCTGCCCTCCTGCAGGAGGACCGAAGAAGGGCGCGGGGCTCGATTCGTGGAGGGCACGAATGAGGCCCCAACAGAGGACGAAACCGCAGGCACTCACGGGTGAATGAGGAGGAGGACGCTCCCCCACCTCCAACTTCCCCCCGTTCGGCCTTGCTACCACAGCAGCGGCATACACGCGAGGGCGACACGAAGGACAAGGGCGATCCCGTACCTTCCCCTGCTACCCCTTCCTCCTTGCTACCGCGACAGCAAGAGGAACTCGAGGGCGACGGAAAGCAAGAGGATTATCAGGTACCCACCGCTTCTACACCCCCCGTCGTGCTGCCGCAACAGCAGGAAGAAGGCGAGGGGGATGAAGAGGAGGAGGGCGTTCCCGTACCTTCCCTTTCCACCCCTCGGTTCGTGCTACCGCAGCAGTAGCAGATTGACGAGGGCGATGAAAACGAGGAGGATGTCCCAGTGCCGCTTGGCTCCCCCAACCAAAGAGAGGAGGTGGTGCGGGAACGGGTCCGTTCTCCGGAACGTGCTTCCTTGTCCCCAGAGAAGACAGAAGAAGTGGACCGATTGTTCACTGCGCAGCTTTCGTCCCATGCAGGGTTAAATTCACTTGTCAGGGAGAACCCTGAAGCTCTGGAGGACATCCAACGGGTCATTCAATCAACAGTCGTTAGAAGCTTTTATCCCGATGATAAGCATAGCGACATGGACGGGCGCCGAAAGCTCGCCACGTTGGTGACCATGTCAACGGCGCTAGGCGAGGTTGCGGTGAGTCCTGTGCGTGGTACGATTCCCTCAGCATGCACCAGCAATGGCTTGACAAGCTTTTCGGTGAGAAACTGGTGTCGAATATGGAATGTGGTATAACAATCACCAGTCACGCAATGCTGCCTATGTGCGTAGTTGAGGCACACCGAGGACATGGACGTCCAGCGTAAGGAGATGGCCTTGCCTCTGTTTTTGAAGGCGTACTGCACTGTCGTCAGAAGCGGTCTATGCCAGGCGTACCTCGCTTCCAGCGTCATCGACAGTGACTGGGTGTCCATGAGCAAGACCGGTGGCATGGGCAAGGTGGGTGCCGCGTTAGGATCAAAGTCTGTGAGTTGTGTGGGACCTGCACTCTCTGCAATTGCCGTCGATATGGAATGCTCTCTGCCAGTCATGTTGAAGCCCTGGTGTTTTCTTTGCCGCATTCCAGGCAGGGGCGGCCGTGAAGCTGATGTCTCGCGCCGTTCCTGTCGTCGGAGGACTGCCCGAACTAGCGGGCAAAGCGTTGGAGGCCGGAGACCACTTTTTCCAAACTCGGCGATTGGTAAAGGTGAGTCTGTCGTTAGCCCTACATGCTCCTCTGTAGCGTTGCCGTGTGCGGTGCGCTAGACACCCCTCGTATACCTGGCCTCTCAAAACGAGTATGAACGACACCGACGTCCACACTCGATACTTTGCAGATCGCGGCTCTGGCACCTGACGCGATGGAGTGTTGCTCCCTGGCAATAGGTTGGTCCTACAACTAACCGACAGTCTCAGAAACGATGCCGGCGCCACGGCCGACGCCGCGGACGAAGATCGTGTGAGCACCACGGCGGGCATGAACGGTGCGGTGGGAAAGAGGACTGTATTTAGCGGTGCCGTTTGGATGGTGCACTTGGTTTTGTTCGTGGCGGCATGGCGCAGGCGCATGTGTGCATGTTGCGATGTTGAAATCCGTCTAAGTTTTCAGTCGTGTGGACTCTCTGCTGATGCTTGGGGGTTAGAGTACAGGTCTTCGTTCACCTCACGTTATAGTAGTTGTTTCTACACATCGCCAGCGATAGTACAAACGCACTACCTTGAGCAAAGACGAGTGCCAACTGTCCATGGACCAAGTTTCTAATCTTCATTGCTGATTGTGACTACGAGAATGTCTTCGTGTATTTCAGGCGGCTCTGGATCTGGTCGAGGCGCTGGTATGATGCCTGGGGACACGAGCGAATAGGGCGTCTTTGAAAACTTGCTGAAGAGGTGGCCAGCTACAAACGCAAAGATCATGTGAGTCCATGAAACACGATGGACGAAACAGGTATGGGCAGCTTTGGCCGTTGTGTGGTCATACCATGGTCGTGTAAGCTGAGGAAACTTCAACATGGGGGTGTTTCTTCCAGAAATGAGAACGAAACCGCGATTCATCATGTTGACTTTGCTCCCCTTTCTTTCCTCCCACAAGCACGTTCGCAAGCTGTTGAAAGCTATTCAACGAGGTTGCCTTGGAGGCTCAAATGGCACCGAACAGAAGGTAAGGACTCGTATGAGTTCCGGGCACAGGTGTACGTAGTCTGTTATTGCATTCTGCCTTGTGGGCTCTTGGCCCGTAGAGCAAATAGTGGGGCTGCTGGGTACGTTGAGTGAGGGTCTGCAAGGGACGGGAACATTGCCATCGAGCTCTGTAGAGGTGGAGGCGTTGTCATCTCTATCGGAATCACCCTACGGTCCAGGTAGTGTAGTGTTATGTGAAGGAAACACCTCAGTCACGCCATTTCCCGAGAAAAATGTCGAAACTTTCGTTTCATCTTGGACATCGTATTGGTTTTGTTCATGGTGCGAGCAGATTGAGGTCCTTCTGCTAGAGATTCTTCCCGCGTGCTATTAGATCCGCCGCATCGTCCAGCGCACCGATGGAAGTCATCGTCCGATCTCCTGCTGATTTGGCGGCCGCCCACGACGACGGGTTGCCCTCAATGACAGACTTTGCGGTCATACAAGCAGAATTAGCAGCGTTGAAAGCCGCCAAGGACAAACAACAAGCAGAGCTGGAAGAGTTGCAAGCCGCCAAGGACAAGCAGCACGAAGACCTGGAAAAGAAGCAAGCGAAAATCGAAGCAGTGGAGTCCCGCAACGAACACATCCGTCGCTGTAGCACGCATTGGAGGTGCCGTGAACGTGCGCGCACCGCACAGGCAGCCCACACGAAAGGCCGACACTGCCTACAGAAGTGCTTGTGGGATGATATCTTCGAAAGCACATTCCTGCACGTGTCTGTCGGATGTTGGCACTCACTGCGTTGTGGGGCAATAGACTAATTCTTTGAATATCCACCACGTATCGTGCGTTCGCGCACGCTTTGTTCAACACTACCGTACTGGTGAAGAAACATTTCATGACTGGACTATATAGCTTGTAACTACGTTACAAGCTTTCTGCTGTATGGCGAGTCAAGTGTCTCGAAAACCACCCCCTACTCCCTAGTATCTCCTACATGCACCATCCCCCCGTGCCGTATCTTTGCTATCGTAGGTGGCAGCGATGGAAAAGCGAGTGCCAGGAGGTGACTGCGAGCCGTGCGACAGGGTAAATGCTGGTAAGCGGGGTTGTGACATGGTGGCAATTGACACGACGAAACTCAGATAGTATCCCAGAAGCAGGGGAGGTGATGATATTGGTCAGCTTAGTTTGCATCCACATCGCGTGTGGAATTCTCATCCCGACGGAGCAGGATTGGGAGGCCAGATGTGGTATGAGGCTATTTTTGCCTGGGAAAAAATCACAAATTCAACACGGCGTTGAACTTTGTTTTTTGATTTTGGCCTTGTCGTCCTCGTCTTACTCGTCTCCGGTGGTGGATGATCGCTGTTTGAAGGAGGACGACAAGTTCGCCAGCAGAAGCTCGAGATGAAGGAGGACCTGGACACATTTTCGAAGCGAAAGGAGAATGCAGGTGGGTACATGTTGATGCAACTGGGTGCTTCATTGAACCGCCTTTAGTCCTTAATACCCCCACCACAGCGAGAGAGGACCTATGGATGGATCTTGGGTACGGTCATGGTGGCTGTGTTTCAAACTTCTCTCAAACCCTGCCTGATATCGTTGTTATTTCTTGGAACACACGAGCATTCCGAGTAGGGTGTGGGAAAGGTGATCGAACAAGGAGGGCTGCCTACAAAAGGGTCTTGTGCAACGGGACCGGTTGCGAGGAGTCTAGTGCCGTACATTGTGGGGCCACACCTTGTCGGCCTCGTGCTTGGAAATGGACTCATCGAAAAGGCATGCCCAGATTGATTTCAATTGGTTGTTCCTTTGCAGCACAACGTGGAATGCTCGTGTTTCTTGAGAACAGCGCTGATCGGTCTTGCCCCCTCTCTCGTCGTGCCCGTTCTGCCTCAGCCGGTGCTGGAGATCAGGGAATTCTCACCCCCGCTGAACACCAAGCGGAAACACGAGACACCCGAGCTCGTGTGGACGATGTCGACGGTCGGGTGGACTTTCTGGAGGCACAACGTGCTGCCCTCAAGCAACAGCAAGCAGGCAAGTGACCACACACAGCTTGGCACCACAATACGATGTTTGCATTGATAGCACCAGCCATATTCGCTTTTGCAACCTTGCTGGCCTTGTCCAGCAGCAAGCAGGCAAGCACACATAGCTTGTCACTACAATATGTACGACAATTGCACACTGAGAGCACCAGCCGTAGAACACCAGCCGTGCAGTACGAGCCGTACTCGTTTTTGCAACGGCGCACCGCATGCCGACAACATCGTCAACTTGTCTTGTCCAATGAAGTGTCTTCGTTGTCGACCGTTCGCAGGGAAAAATAAGGGTTTCTCACAAGACGGGCGCCGCCATCGCTGACGTGACTCGACATATACACCCGAAGCTTGGCAAGGCGAAGAGTGGCCACGAAGGGACCCCCAGGTGGTGATCACCCCCCGTATAGAGTTGGTTTCATAGACCTACAGGAGGAGATACTTGAGTGAGGCGTCTTGTGTCATGCGCGCGTGGAGTAGAGTTGCGGTGGCACTGTAAGTTTCGATATATCTCTCGATGATGTGGATGCAAGGGTCTGGGGTAGGGCACAAACGATCGAAGTCATTGTGGAACAAGGTGGCCCAAAAGGCCTTCCCAAATCAGAGTTTGGAGATTCCAATGCGACAGACACCAATCCTGACGTCCAATGCCGGAGCAAATCGACACGACCGACGGAATGTGGGTATACGACCTCATCAACATGCATTTCGCGCATGCTACAGAAGGTCATATTTTTGTAGCCTGGGAGTTCAACGAAGTTCCGGCTCGAGATTAAAGAGAAGTTTGAGAATTTGATCATAAGAACGTACGTATATGTGGTGAGGGAAGCATCGTGTTCTAAAACCTAACGAAGTTGAGTGAGTCGCTGTTGGGTTGGTTACACTGCAGGGAAAGAAACGAGCCTCCGGGACGAATGAGAGCTTCTTATGTAGTGTTGCCTTCTGTGAACATATGACAACACGTAGCGTCGGCATTTTTATCTCCGAAATCCCTTGAGTGCGTCTGCAAATGAATGTTGGGCCCAGCATTTATCAATTGAACCACGGAACAAATATCCCATGGATTGGGAACCATAGAGTCTACTCCGATCTTTCGCGTGGTGCGTGCATTCCTGCTGAAAGAGCGTCGATTGGGCATGAGACAGCTACCACTGCTTATCTCCGGCACAGACGTTATCGAACAACGGTCATGTCGTGCAAGGCTGTTACACACCCAACGGATATCAACGCAATGACAAGATACCAGAGACTTCAAGTCACCCTTAGAAGTAACGATGTCTGGATGCAGCGCACTCCGATGCAACACTGTGGAGAGACGATCGAATCGTTCAACTCAAATAATTTTCCTTTCGCCTTGGTGGGTGGAACGCCTCCTAATTTTATGCAGCCAGGCCATCATGTTGTGCGTCCCGTCCGCCTGATCTCCGCAGTGACAGGAGATAAGTACGCTACATTCCGCCATATCAATGAGGCACTCGTACATGCTTCCACATCCTCTCGGAAGCAGAGGCAAACCATGCAAGGAGCCTGCAGTAATCCAGAGAGGTCGGCCGCCACTCTGTACCTATTCTCCCGACGATATACGGTCGAACGAACGACCCGCCTGTCCCCGCAGGACGTTTTCTCAACTCCAACCGCCACCCTCACAAGCAGCCTCAGACTCGCCTCACTACCAACAGACCGCCACAACAGGCACCGGTAAAGGCGTGATGCCTGGCGGTCATTCCGCGCAATCATGGATTTCTTCAATAATACTATATGCAGGTCGAAGCCGGACAATCAGATCGCTCGGTGTCGCTGTGGGCACGGAGTACTCGTTCGTATGGTAGTCTATGCCATGCATCGGCAACGATTGTCTGATCATCAGTCATCAATTGAGTTTTAGTCAGAGTCCCAAGTACACCGTTCTTTGAACATACCGTGATAAAAGAAAGGTAAACGGGGCGGATAGAGAGAAACTCTCCGAAGTTTAGCACTAGACTACTGCACGGTTGTTGGGAGCACAACGACACCACGAGTTCGTGCTCTAGTCTACACAAACGCCAGTACTTGCCGCGATGCGTGCTACCGATTCGTTATTGCGGCCCAAAACATTTACCGTTGTGACTGTACACATGCATATCAGCCCCGAACACAATTTTTCACAATTTGCTGAAGGTATGTGCTACGCTCAGCACGGCGGCGATCATCAACGCAGTGAATACTGTCAGCGCAATCTCTCTCCCGGTCCTCCTCCTGGACGCGGCTGTCTTGTCTGGCTGGTTCAACTCAACCCTGACCTTCAGTACCAACATATTGCCGCTGCACGCAGAACGCTGGAGTAGGCTACTGCTGGAAACGTCTACGTAGTCTCTTCATCCAACGTGGCCCTCTCTATACTGCCGTTTGCTCAGGAGGCATCGCCCGATCTTCCGCCCGTGGAACATGGATCATAACCGATCTTCTGTTCACGGACGGCATGGCATTGTTCAATGTTTCAATGTACAGCAGTGAGGCAGTAGCATGCATTGCCAGGGAGATATGCAGTCAGTCAGCGTGAAAATGTTTGCGCGTGGTGCAGTACAGAACTGACAGACACAGCCAGCTGATGTGAACCTTGGGGGTTGGTGTATCTGCTCGGGTGATGGGGAGGAGCTGGAAAGTAGAGCTGACTGGTGGAGTTTTTTTTGTGGTGAAGCAAAGGTCCCGCCGCTTCCTCTCCGGCGCGCAAAGAAAGTTCGAGGATCGTTCTGGCGCCGGGTCCTGGGAAGAAGCGCTGGCTCCGATTCCTCCGACGATTCGATGACGATTGTCCAAGAAAGGCAGCAAGAGGCAAGGGGGCAGATGGCAACAAGAGCGGCGACATTAGAGTGTGCCGAAATTTAATCACGACAGGGCTTAGCTCCACTTCTTTTCAGCCCAACCCCCGCCTTCTACGCGTATACCCCTGGAACGGAGATCACAGGTGAGCAAGCACGTGCCGCTGGTGTGAAGTAGACTTAGACTACTTTCGCCAAGCTTTCGCCCTCGCCATCTGCCTCCCAACGCACCTACGGGTGTTAGCGGGCACCACCCGCAGACATTGAAGAGGTGGTACATGAATTTAGAGCACATGCTGCAACAATATTTACCCCCGCAAAGCTGCTTGAGTGACTGCCGTGGTGGTTGCGTTGCGGCCCCAGCGCATCTCCCGCTCGATGGAAAATCAAAGCAGTCTGCATATCGCCGGAAACACGTCAGCACTGATCACCTACGGTATGCCGAGTGTCCCCTCCGCTGCCGTTCTGGCTGTGTCCAGAAGCAAGTGACTGACAGACAGTCCAAACCGACCAGAGGATGCGTGAGTCATGAACGCTACGTCACCGCATCCATCACACGCAATTTCCTCTGCACTACAATATTGTTCAGCAGCAGAACCGTACGTCACGCAAGATACCATACCCCCTGGACCGATCTTCCAAACCTTGACTACTCAACAGCAGAAAGAGCGGAGGCGTCAGAAACGGTGGCGTTGACATAATCTCGTTGATGCCTTTCCGAAGACATATCGTTTGGTTTTGGTGTGTTCTTCGTACAATAGTCGTGAATTAGTCAAACATTGGAAATCGGTCCAGGGGGTGTGGTATCTTGTGTCGCCTACCGTATACTGCTGCAGTCTCTGCTGCCTACAGCACTGCTATGTACAGACGTGTAACAGCAGTTGTAGTTCTTACGTCTCTCTCTCTCTCTCTCTCTCTCTCTCTCTCTCTCTCTCTCTCTGTTCTCCAACACTTTGCGGTGGGAAGCGTCTTTTGTAGTTCATCTGTACACGCACGCCGACTAGACTAGACTATATTCATCGACGAAGGGAGGAAAGGTACCGCTGAACGCTTGTTTGCTTCTCGTTTTTTGGAAGCCCATTGAAGCCCAGTTCGAGCGGAAAAACGGCTCAGGCTCCTCTCTCTCGGGCGCGAAAGTATTGAATCTGGAACGGCCATGACGTCAATTCACCAGCGGAATGCTGCTTGGGTGCGCAGGGGGCAGGAGAGCACCTACATTTTTTTTTTTTGTCTCCCATCATTGGACTTTGTCGTCTGCCCCTCTGGCCCCTATCCTCCCCTTCTACTAGCTAGACGACCCAACCGGGGTCACATAGGAGGGGGGGGCTGGACCCCCTCCTGCGGTTCCTGCCTGAGGTATTTTTATCGCGAGAAGGATACAGCAATCCCTTCCCTCGCGACTCACGAAGTCGATTATGGTTTACTAACAACGAGCTTTGCAGCGCGTCGCTTTCATCCCAGATTAGAGAGAAAAAACTCACTCTGCCGGGACTCGAACCCATGACCTAGCCCTTAGCAGGCTGAGAGGTACCCACTAGACCACCGGGGCGACCGGTTTACATGTAGGTCTGTGTTTGCGTTTGTGCCCCGGTCTATGCCCTTGCACTCGCCTATTAGAAGTTAGCAGTACGTGGTGTCAGCAAGCACACTGCTGTCGTCGCAAAAGCAAGGAGGGCCAGCAGCAGTCATCTAGTGTAGTACAGCAGTGGGACCATCGGGGGCGGTTGGAGCAGCAAGCGTGAAGAGAGAGGCCGGTGAACAAGCGGCGATCCCCAGACGTTATTGTCCTGGTATCTTCAGGCGAACTCCTTGGATGCCCTCAAAGGGAGTCCGGGCCGGTGCGATGATGGGAGCAGACGTTGTTCTCTACAAGTTGCAGGAGCAGTGTACGATACAGGCAAAGTGACGGTGTCGGGAAAATGATAACAATCACGATGACCACGCTGACTATTCGTCACGAAAGTTAATCCCCGAGTCCGTCAAGCTTTCTTTCAAGCCACGATCACGTGCCCCCTGGGTTGTCATCTCTGTGATCAGCGCTGCCTTGCCCGGAGAATTCCATCGGTACAAGAGGTTCATCGGTTTATTTTGCGAAGCCCATTTTCACAAGCTTTTTTCGCCTTATGCTTCGGGCGCAAATAAATGTGTTCAAGGGGAGATTGGAACCACAAACAAATATGCTTTTCTTTAGAATAGAAGAACGATGACCACTAGACCACTACTAGTCAGCGCTGACTAGTAGTCTAGCGGTCATCGTGCTTCACAACAATTTCCACGGCATATTCCAAGAGCCAAACGAGAACATCTGTTATTGTGACCGCGGCCGCGGTGCCGCTGTTGCCATCGTTCGGCAGCCACCGTGTCCTTTGGTGCCCCTATCATACCGTAGGCCTGTGCCACTGGCCGCAGAAGAAGACCGCGTCAGCATCAGAAGCTGGACAGATTCTCTGCTACCACCGTGAGCATGCGAGATGCTCGCGGGCTTCCAACCTGGCCAATATATAGCCATGGATTGATACATGACGGAATAATTGATCAAACCCTAGCTACTGTCAGATTGCTTTCTGGGAATCGTGTGCGCCTGATCGGGAGCCCACCATTTCCGTTTTCCGGTTGATGGATTTGAGGCGAATGTGTGCAGAGGATTAGGTGGCGTCGTGATACTTGGTGCCATATCATTGTACCTCCCATTATGATCCGCTGCGTACTTCTTTGCTGATGATTTGCAGCAGACCTGTATTGCATGCTTGAGAATGGCTTTAGCAGTGCCAGCAGAGCGAAGGAAACATGCGGAGGTCATGCGGAGGGTACATCGCCACGGATGCAGTCTTTCGAACAACTCAGCAAGCCTTCGATAAACCCCTCCGCGCATCGGTGTCAGGCTGCGTCTCTCTCTGCTACCACCCCCTCGTCGCGCCTTGCACCCGTTACCTCACTTTCTGCCTCGTTTTGCAGCCACCCTCGCAGTTTGTAATGTCGTCTGAGGATCGTGCGGCACTGGTGGCCCTGTTTTGGTCTACCGGCGGGACTCGTTGGATTTTCAACGCCAACTGGGCGACAGATGCTAACCTCTCGAAATGGCACGGAGTGGAAGTCAACGACCATGGCCGGGTGGTGGAGCTGGATCTGAATAACAACAACCTCAGAGGTACGCATATCTTGAGCGTACTCCGAAGTTTTCTGAAGACGTCTGCTGCGCTCTTGACTGTGTGCCTGGCCTCAGCCCAGAGCCCATTGCACCACGAGCGGTTTTTGCAGTGAACGTGCTGGTTCCAAGAATCGTATGGTTGATGCGTGGGAGATTGATTGTGTCCAACTATGTGTCGGCCAATAACTTGAAAATGAAGCGTAGTTATGTACTTCGTAGCACAACGGTACAGTATCATGATAGCCACTTCGAACGACATGGAATGACGCAGCTTTTCTTTTCAATGGGGGTAAGGCAACATGGTCGAGCCGAGAGTAGCTAGAACGCCCCGAAATGCCTCGAATTTCTCACCCGAGATGTCCCGCAGTTGGTTCGAAACGTCAGAAGGTTTCCCCTTACCGGTACCTTGAAGCATAGCATACAAGACTCGCGGTAAATTGCACCGCACAAACAACATGTGTACCAGGTGCATATCCTCTCACGCATGTGGCAAACGCTATGATTTTGATCTATGACCACACGAACTCTCTCTAAATCTGCCTGTCAGCTAGAGACGCCTACTCAAAGGTACGTCAACAGCGTAATCACGGAAAGAGTAAACGGGAAAACATCCCCTTGATAGGAACGCAGTGCGACTAAAAATTTGAACAATTGTTGGTGCGGGGTATGTTGCGTGTGAGCACCATGTGTCTTCGCGCAGGCTGATGTTCGAGTGTAGTACTGTACTTTACCGCATTCTTTCTCGCATACTTTTTGTAATATTTTCAGTTTATGCGTATGCAATGTGCCTACATTTCATCTGTTCTTCGCGCCAGTTATCATCAGTCTTCGGGTCATGTGTCTGTGTTTGCCTAACGAGCTGGGGTGCGCAGGAGGAAGGTAAACACTGACCGTATTCGTTTTTATGTACCATTCCTCCTGCGGTCCTAGCCTTCCATTCAAAAAGCGGGGAGGGCTCAGCAATCCCTTCCTTCCTTCTGTGATGTTCAGTGAATATATTGTTTCCCCGACTATATTGCGTAATTTTTCCCTGAGGAACGATTCGAGCGCGCAATCGAGATAGTCAAGAGTGACGAGATTAACAACCGAACGACCGGGGCCACTGTGTGTTTTGTCGGAAAATAGCATTTGGGACATAGGCCCGTTTTTTTCGAAATCATTTTCGCCGTGAAGTGCCACGTGTGTTGCCGTGAAACGTGAAACGAGCGGGCCCTGAAATATCTGGGCAACGCTCATGTTACGTTTCCCTCAAGAAGAACGAAAAGCAGATCGGGGCCTTCTGGGCTTACCGAGAAAATACCCCTGTCTCCAAACGAAAAAAGTCGTCAATCCATGGAATCTATGGTCCCATTCGCTAGATGCTTGTGCAGACTTAGACTTCCTCACGTTCCGCGGTGGGGAAAAAAGCGCTTTCGATGAGGGTGGGCCTTACCGAGAAGATACTCGTGTCTCTAAACGAAAAAAGTCGTCAATCCATGGTCCCATTCGCTAGATGCTTGTGCAGACTTAGACTTCTTCAAGCACTCAGGTACCACGCCTTTGTAGGGGTGGTTGATCCGAAATTTCAAAAGAACAGGCGAAGGCGTTGCCTCCCTATCCCCAATGAAAACTTTCGGATGATCTTGTAATCGTAGGCTTTTGACACGACCCCATGTTGGTTTATGAAACCAGTTGCAAGAGCTCCGGCTCCTCGACACTGGTTTGACTGGTGAGAGCGAGGTTCTAAATGGCTAATTGGTTTGCAGGTGTTTTCGGCATCGCATCGCAGACATGGTCATATTGTTTGTAGAAGAATCTTGAGACCTTGATAAAGGGCCGTTTCCTGTAGTTTGGAAAGTAAAAACTTGTATGGTGGCGCCTGTTCTCCGCTGAAAGATTCGCGCGAACCTATCGAATAGCACCTTGGAGCCCCAGCCGGGTTGTCTAGCCAGGGCGTGACAGATGCCGGGCCGGTGGTGTGGGAGATGCCGAACGTGCGAAACATTGTCATTTGCTGCGCTGACACGTGGGCGAGGCTCATAGCTTGGAAAGCATTTCAACATGGTTGATCGGCCTTACCTCGTTGGTTTCCTGTTCTGTGCAGGGACTGTCCCTGAAACGCTTCGAGGTCTGAAGGAGCTGATGGTTCTTAATTTGAGCAGCAACAAGCTCACCGGTGAGAAAACGCGGTTGAACAGACCATCATTGTTCAGAAGACTTGTCCTTCCCATGCCGTAGAAATGTCGTCGGCAGCCTGCACGGTTCGACGCAATAAATCAGTCGGGTTGGTTGATTGGCCCGAAGCCTAGCGCTGCTTGACGGGCAGGGCTGACTCATTTCACAGGCGTGAAGAGATAGAGAGGTGAAAATGTCGCTTATTAGGTTGCCCTTTGGACACAAGCAAGAGAGTAGGGGAACCACCAGGTAATTGACAAACATGCACGCAACAGTCGAAAATTACGTATACCCTTGTGAATGGTGAAGATGCATGTAGTCAATTGTATGAAGTACAATACCAAGACTCTTGATACATATGGCTGGAGAGAAAGAGCGCACAACGCCAGCAAGCACTCCCTTATAGCCGAGCCCCGTGGATCAACCATAAACCCGACCCAGGGTAATATCGGTTCCTGTCGATACCACACTATGTATACGGTCCCGTTGGTAAATGTTAACCCGCCCATGCACACACGAACAGCAACGCAGTCATCTACAACTGCTGAAATATATATTGGGAGATACCTCGAACATGTACGTCCGCGGAAGGGTCTCTTTCACTTCTCAAACAAACTACCACACATGGGCAATACAGTGGTAGCCTTGGTACAGATGATATAGTCCATCTCATGAACAAGTTCACCATGACAGCTTGTTTCACGTCCTGAATGCCTGCGCAGGTTTCATCCCGGCATGGCTGGGATCATTAAATTACTTGCAAACGCTTGGGCTACACAGCAACCAGCTGGCCGGTGAGAGAGGAACGAATCAAAGCGATCGTCAAGTCCAGTTTAGTCGACGGCGCCCCTGGCTGTGCACCTGCCTTTTGTAATACTTGGGGTTGTACCATACATGTCCATGCCAGGGTTGAGCATGAATCACATGGGCAGTCCGACCTTTCCAGTCCATCTCGAAGATTGTCATTGGCCGAGACCAGAATTCGTCTTTAATGCCACCCCTCGGGCATCCAAACGAATCGTAGCGATTATCACCCTTGTTCTCGTGCTCGTTACCCAAGCTGAGGTCAGCTGCGTACATGATTTCGATTGTTCCGCTCGGCGCTCGTGGGGATGGGATATTCGGCGTTCAGGATGTACGAGATTGTTTTGGTTCCAGTGTAATCGACTACCCCGCCCGCAGGACGCTCCCTTTGATGTCGAGGTCGCTTCCTTCCATTTCTTGGAACGCTATGGCATAAAGGATGGGGCTCGCTCTCTTTTGTGTCTGGCGGATGTGCTATACACGTCAGCCTATCGATTAGCAAGTCGGAGTCCCAGTCGGGCTGGCTAGGCCAGGCCGTAGGAAGCGCAAGATTTTGGTGTGGGCAGTGTCGAACGCGATCAAATCATGAGTCGCGCTTACGCGACGGAGGGACTCATGCCTTGGAGAACACTTCAACTCCGCTCGCTGTTCTGACTCGGTTCGTTATTTTTCTGTGCAGGGCCTATCCCTGAAGAGCTGGGGGCTCTCAAGGAGCTAACGGAACTATATTTGTACAATAACAAGCTTACGGGTGAGAGAATGTGGCACAAGAAACACGTGATTCATTTTCCGGATACGTCTCTCCCGTGCCCTAGGAACCGCCTTTGGCAACCTATGCGTCTCGGCTGAACGATTTACCACTAGCGTGATACCATCGTGTTTGATGTGGTGAAATATTGTTCTGGTTCCATCCCTACACGGCTGGTATCTGTAGTCAGTTTACGGCAGCTTTGGCCGCAAAGCAATCAGCTGGTCGGTGAGAAAAAAATAGTCAAAATTACAGTCGATCCCATTTGGTTCGACAACGGCCCTGGCAGGACATGGACTACGACCACAGAGCGGTCACGTTCCATGTCTGCCACGATAAGTGTGTGCTGGGATGTTGGGGGTTGTCTGAAAAAGATTCATACCCAAGTTGAGCACGTTAAATGTTGGCAATTCGAGCTGTAGAGTCTATCATCAGACCCGTGATTGGCCAAGACCAAGTTTCAGCCCTACATTGTGCCACTGCGGGGGCTTCGAAGAATGGCGATTTCCCCCCATTCCTTTTTCCTTAAGGGCCAGCGCGATAGCGACTTTGTCTAGAATTGTCACTGCTGCGCTCGGCATTCGAGGGGCATAATATACAGGGGCGATCAGCATGAACAAGATTTATTGATCGCATTTCGATCGACAATGCCCTAGGCGGCCATCTCCTGTGTCGAAACTGCCGTTTCTTGTAGTTTTTTGCGCGTACAAACCTCTATGGTGGCGCTTGCTCTCTGTTGTGTCAGGAGGTTGTGCGATTTGCGTCAACCGATCGATGAACAGCTCGTAGCCCCAGTCACCCTGGCTCGGCCGAGGCGTGACATTCACCAGCGTTTGATGTGGGAGGCATTGAAGGTGCTACAACCATGTGCGGCGGTCACGTGTGGATGAGAGGCACGTCTCGGAGAATACGGTGTACCACCGTCTAACTGCGTTCGTTCCTATTTTTTGCAGGGCCTATCCCTGAAGCGCTTGGAACTCTGAAGGAGGTACGGCATCTTTGTTTGGACGGCAACAACCTCACGGGTGAACGACACTGACACAACAAGCGCACAATGGCTTTCGAGGATGTGTCCCACCCACGTTGTAGCAGACACCGACAGCACCTGCGCGGGTGGACACCACGAGTACTGAAGCTGCGTCATTACACCTAGTGTCATTCGGGTGAATGCTGGTTTCGGTTCCATACGCACGTGGCTTACATGTTGAGGCAGGTTGCAACATTCTGAGCTAACGGCAGCCAGCTGGTCGGTGCAGAAGGAGTCAAAGGATATTCGAATCCCCTTGGTTCGACGGTGGCCCTTGAGGACACTTGCTACGATCACGGAATGTCGTCACTCCATGTCTGCCGCAGTTGTACAATTTCTTTCTTGCCAAGAGTAGATTCGTGTATCAGGATGGCGGTTGGTGCCTCCGAATCAAACACCTGGGCTATGATTGGCCCTGATGGTTGCATTCCCCGGATATGTAGTAATGGACAAATGAAGACCGTTCCATTCCACGTCTAGAAATCTTTCCGAGCATCGATGCGGGGAACATGTATCAGCTATCATCCATCCGTTGAAAGACACCCAATACCGTGCACGCAAAGTTTGTTCATATATCGAGTGCTAGTCGCGTGCACAGGGTTTCAAGACATGAATGGTGATCCACAGACAACTTGTTGGACGGAGTTTTCAATGTTTGCTTGCCTGGTTCCAGCTAAGTAGCGCTGTAACTTCATGGAGGCAGATATTACGATCAAGCATTTCTACAGAAACCTGGCAACGGTTAGAAGCTACAACATAACCCACAGTCGCTTGCCAAACACTTCATCCGCCTGTTGTCTGTAGCCTTCTCTCGTTACGCTAACTTGGCATGCAGCAGAGTTGTCGGCGACGATCATAGAACTGATTGGATTTTTGACCACAGATGGCGCCCACGTTTCAGAACCTCTATTCAATAGTTTTGGGCCGAGCCTGGGGTTCTTAAGTTCCTCTCGTGGGCTGCAAGTGACCGCTATATAGGTTTTAGCGAAGAAGGCCTTAACCGGGCTCACAAATGGTGCTCAAGTTCTTAGCTTTTATTTTTGTTCGAGTCTCACCTTCTTAATTGCTGCATAAGTTTTAAGTGCGGGCGCTATCTGTAGCGCGTTGGCAGACCATATTTGAACGTTTTCACTTACGCCAATCGTGGTCTGTGCTGGCCTTCCGGTGCCGGACGACCGCTTCTTGTTGGATGCTGCTTCGGTGGTGCAAATTTCAGGACCCGTTCCTAACGCGGTAGGAAACTTGGAAAACCTTCGGGAGCTTCATCTTCAGAACAACCGCCTGACAGGTACGAGTGATATAAGACAGGCGAGCCTGCTGGTCGAGGTTGTACATTCCTTCACTGTTGGAAAGAGTAGTATCGACACACACGGGCGATATTCTCACGCTTTGGACAAGGTTATTGCTCAAGCACATGAGCACGTCTGAGCTTGTTCACCTCAACATTGAAGTATGTTGTTAGAGTCCCTCGGTCGCTCAGCTTTGGCAGAACAGCCTCTCGAAAGGTTAACACCACTGTCGTGGGATAAGCGTCTTGCTACATTTGAAACGGGTGGAACGTCAACCTTCTGTCGTGTCCATGCGGGAGGGGAAGGGTTCGAGCTATCCCAGGGCTGTGCATTGTAGTCCATTGCTGATGACGTGTGCTCGTTGATACCCAGCTAAAGCACCACAAGTTGGGTGGAAGCGCCCCGTCAATCGGTGATCAATCCTGAGCAGGTAGCCAAACATGGAGTCAAGAATTTACGTGCTGAGGTACAGTTACGGCCTTCACGCGTGCAATATGATGTCGCGTCACCTGTACTCTACAGACCGAAAGAAATGATAAGGTAGTAGGTAACGGTCGCCATGCAGCCACCTGATTCCCGGAAAGACCCAGCACACACCTGACATTGCTTGGTTCCCGGTGCTCCGATGGGAGGTATCGCCGCCTATGCCTACGCATGTTGAATAGTTTTCTCCCATGGAACGCCGGCTACCCTTATGTTCAGCATTTCCAACATGTTTTGCTCCGTCGGAGAGTGCCATCCTACAGTAGTAAATTTCAAATTGCTTGTGCCTCAGACGCCAACCATACCATACGAACTACAGATACTTTGCAATCTCCCCCGAGCACTCTCCGGCCTCCCACGGATACCCGGAACAGGTTCAGCACAGCTAGGTGTGCGAAGACCCTGGCCCTTTGCCAGTCTGCTGATGCTGCGGAGATTCGAGGCCAATGCAGCATTATCCTCTGTCTGGGAGATGTTGACCACACAAGCACTAGCTCCATGATAGATAAACGTGTACAGATGACACGATTCAACAACGTACCTCTTGCAACCGTCACCAGACTCTCTTGCGCGCATGATTAATGCACCAGGTTCGCTACGTGCGGATTCCAGTCTCCAATCGCAGACTTGTCTATGTGGTGATTGCTACAAGAAGCGTTTACCGCTTCTCTTTCTGGCCACCAATACGCTGCTTGCGCAGGAGTCATCCCGGCGGAGCTGGCAAACTTGAGTGCTCTTTCGAAATTTCGGTTCAGAAACGCAGGATGGAAGGCCCTCTTTCGCCGTGGCAACAAGCTTGCCGGTGAGCGCAAAGCATGGAGAAAATACACATGAACGAATCGGTAAGGTCAAAGGTGATGACCAGCATATAACGGTGTGGCAAGTCTCCTTGAACACGGGTCGAGCAATTAGAAATCGGACTAGTCTGCTTGAAAAGAACTCAGTAGCCAGCGATGCCCCGTCAGCTCCGGTTCTTAGACAGCACCAACAGTGCCTAATATAGTGTAATCTTAGGGGCAGGACTCAGCGTACGAACAAACACAAAATCCTTCTACTGGAGTATGGTTTCGCCGACGAATTTCGCTGCGGAATCCGCCAAGATTGGAGAGTGATTTTTGCTGTTTCCCACGGGCAAGTAAACGGTGCGTGTACGCAGGTCCTTGCCCGTGTCCGGGTACCTTGGCATTGGTTCTATTCAAGCCCTAGAGCCTTCAGGTTCGTACCAAATGCTTCTCATTCCTTTTATAGCTATCGCCATGTCGACCACGTCGGCGAATCGTCGAGAGCAAGTTGACCCGACAACTGCAATTTTCCGTCCAAATCGGGGATAAGTTCCCTGCGGGATGTCTTGTTTGATGATTTTGTCGCCGGCCTGACGAACGGCCTCTGTGTCACATTCTGCGAGTTTCCGTCAACGAACTCGCTCCTGTGCGCGCTCGCAAGGCTATTTCAGTTTCACGTCTCGAACATCCCTCACCGCAACACAGTGCTCGTCGCTTTTGGCACAACACGTTCTTTGCCCCATGATGCACCCTATCACACATTTGGGATAAGATGTACATTTGTGCCAACCTTGCCCCCTCTTGTTGGTGGGGAAAGGGGAATGGTCTCCAACAGAGATCTGAAAACGTGTCCGAGCAACACCAAGATCACAAGGGTAACGCATTGGCTTGTGATTGCCTCTTTGACGAGATACAGATCTGCTATGGCGATTCCCGGCTCGTACACCACCCCTGTGACCATAGTTTCACCCGCAAGAAAGTCGGCTGACAGTCTTGTGACCCTATTCTCCTGCAGGAGGACCGGCACATGGCGAGAGGCTTGATTTGTGGAGGGATCGAATGTGGCGCAATCATGAGACGAAACCGCAGACTCTCGAGGTCGTCCAAACGGGGGAAGCTCCCGTAACTCCTCCTCCCTTCTTGCTACCGCAGCCGAAGGACATAAACGAGGGCGAGAAAAAGGAGGAGGACGCTCCCTTACCTTCCCCTCCTACCCCTCCGGTGTTACTACCACAGCAGCAGGAGCCAAGCGAGGGTGAGATAAAGGAGGAGAACGCTCCCGTACCTTCCCCTTCTGCCCCTCCGGCATTGCTAGCACAGCAGCAGGAGACAGGCGGGGGAGACGAAAACGAGGAGGATGTTCCCCTGCCGCTTGGCTCCCCCAACCAAAGAGAGGAGGTGGTGCGGGAAGGGGTCCGTTCTCCCGAACATGCTTCCTTGTCCCCAGAGAAGGCAGAAGAAGTAGACCGATTGTTCAGAGTGCAGCTTTCGTCCTCAGCAGGGTTTGATTCACTCATCAGAGAAAACCCTGAAGCTCTGGAGGATATCCATCGGGTCATCAAAGCACCGGCGGCTGGGAGCCTTGATTTCGTCGATGAGATTAGCGACATGGAGAGGCGCCGCAAGCTCGGTACGCTGGTGAACATGGCAAAGGCTCTAGGCGAGGTTGCGGTGAGTCCTATGGATGATGCGATTCCCTCGGGAGTTAGCAACAACCGCGAGACAAGGACTGTGACCGGTGCTCACAACTGTTTCTCCAAAATAGTACTTGGTAGTTCGAATAATGGCCAATCATGCAATGTTGCCTGCGTGCGCAGTTGAGCCACACCGAGGATATGGACGTCCAGCGGAAGGAGCTAGCCTTGACTCCATTTTCCAAAGCCTACTACACCGCCGTCAGAAGCGGGCTTTGTAACGCCTACCTCGCTGCCAGCGTCATCGACAGTGACTGGGTGTCCACATGCAAGACCGGTGGCATGGGCAAGGTGGGTGCCGCGTTGGGACCAGAGTCTGTGGACTCACATTACCTGCACATTCTGCACGTGCAGTCAAAGTGAAAATCCTCTCTGCCAACCAGTCGAAGCCCTGATGCTTGTTTTACTCTCTTTCAGGGAGGAACGGCCTTGGTGCTGCTGTCTAGTGCAGTTCCCGTGATCAGTGGACTGGCCGGACTAGCAGGCAAGGCGCTGCGGACCGGAGACCACTGTCTCCAAACTCGACGATTGGTAAAGGTGAGTCTGTCGCTAGGCGTGCTGGCTACCGGCGTTGCAATGTGCGCTGCGCTAGCTACACCTCGCACATCCAGTCTTCAGTAACGCGTATAAACGAACCGACGTCGACTCTCGATATCTGCCAGATCACGGCCATGGCAGCTGACACAATGGAGTGTTGTTCGTTGGCGCGGAGGTTGGCCCTTCAACTCACGGACGGCCTCAAAGACGATACCGGCATGATGGACGATGAGGCCGACCAAGTCTACACGCACATCACGGCGGGCATGAACGGTGCGGCATACACAAGGGCTGTATCTGACGGTGTCGTTTGGCTAAAATGGCGCAGACGCATGGTTTGCGTGTTGATTGAGTTGGCAAATTCCGCCGAACATCTCAATCGTGTAGACGTCACAAAATTCTTGTGTGGGGTCGAGCACAATGCCATTCCTATCCGTGCGCGTGCATCGAGCGCCGTTGTAACTTGAGCCCCTATGGCAAGCATGATGCTTGTACAGAGTGATCGGATGCACGTTACTTGGCGATACCATTTGCTGCCAGTCGTGGCAGAAGGATGCCTGCCTACACTGGCTGAAGGATTATCTGGATCATCGAGAAAGTGGAGGACAATAGACGTATATGGCCAAGGCAAGGTTCACATGACCGCATTGCGGGTTTGGTTCACCACTAGACCGCACCACTGCGGCACGCATTAGGCAGGGTCAAAGGCTTGCTTTGCTTCGGTCATGCCGCGTGGTTGTTTCACTTGCCAGCGTCAGTACAAGCGCACCGCCCCGAGCGAAGACGACTGTCATCCGCCAGCGGACCAGGTGCCTACTCCCACGTAGATTTATCGCGCACTGGTGGCCATGATCATGTTTTCGTACCTCATGTCTCAGGCGGCTCTGGGTCTGGCCGAGACGCTGATATTTCGCCTGATGATATGATCGAAGACGACGTCTTTGAATACTTGCTGGAAGAGGTGGCCCGCTACGAACGCAGCGATCACGTAAGTCTACAAACGAAGCCTCAATAGGTACGGAGATTTTCGCAGCTGTGGGCATGCGGTGGTGTACCCTGAGACAGTTTCAAGAAGGGGATGTTTCTTGAAATGAGAACAACACGACGCTAACCTTGTCGACGATTCTGCCTTCTTACCTTCAGGGTGGAAAGCGGCTAGGCAAGAAGCACCTTCGAAAATTGTTGAAGGCGATTCAGCGAGGTTGCCTTGACGGCTCAAGCGGCATTAAACAAAAGGTATCGCGTGTGCACCAGGCATGATTTTACAGAGTGCCAGTCGTATTTAGCCTGCGAGATTTTGGCCCGTCTAGTAGCGCTTTGGGGGCTGACGGGTACCGCCGAGCGAGGGTATGCACGAGAAGGGAACATTGACAACATGGTCGTTCGAGGTGTAGCTTTTCTTTTCTCGAGCAGGGTGCACGGTATTGGCACAGATGTGTTGTGATGGGAAGGAAAACTCCAGCACCTCCATGAGACAGGTCGACACTCTTGTCTCGTCTTGGACATGCTATCCGTTTTGTTCATGCTGCGAGCAGATGGAGGCCCTTCTACTGGAGATCCTTCCCGGGGCAGACATTAGAACCTCGGAAACGTCGAGCACGCCCAAGAAAGTGATCGTCCGATCTCCTCCTGCTTTGGCGCCCACCCACGACGGCAGATTGCCGTCAATGGCAGATATTGCCGCCTTGCAAGCAGCGGTGGAAGTGCTGACATTAGCGAAGGATAAGCAGCGAGCAGAGCTCGAAGTAATGAGGTCGGCCCAGGCAACGCACCAAGCAGAGTTGGAAGCGCTGAAGTCTGACAAGGAAGAGCAGCAAGCGGAGCTAGCAGCGCTGAATTCCGCCATGGAGAAGCAGCAATCAAGAATTGAAGCTGTGGAGTTCGACAAGGAGAAGAAGCAATCGAAAATTGAAGAAGTGGAGTCCGCCAAAGAAAAGCAGCAAGCAGAGCTGGATACAATGCATTTCGAGAGGGAAAAGCAGCGAGTAGAGCTGGAAGCGCTGAAATCCACCCAGGAGAAGCAGCAGTCGAAAATTGAAGCAGTACAGTCCGCCAGAGAAAAGCAGCAAGCAGAGCTGGATACAATGCATTTCGAGAGGGAAAAGCAGCGAGCAGAGCTGGAAGCGCTGAAATCCGATAAGGAACAGCAGCAAGCAGAGCTGGAATCGCTGAAATTCGACCAGGAACAGCGCGAGTCGAGAATCGAAGCGGTAGAGTCCGCCAAAGAAAAGCAGCACGCAGAGCTAGCAGCGCTGCATTTCCACAAGGAGAAGCAGCAAGCGGCGCTAGAAGCGTTGAAATCCGCCAAGGAGAAGCAGCAATCGAAAATCGAAGCAGTGGAGTCCGCCAAGGAAAAGCAGCAAGAAGAGCTGGAAGGGTTGACGTCTGCCAAAGATGAGCTCGAGCGCAAGGTGAAAAGCAAACGAGTTCATATGCAACAGCAACAGTATGTCTGGACGTTGACATGTGAATTTCTGGCGTTCGGTCGTATTCCGAGTCCAGTGCCAACACAACAAAGTGTCTGGCGCACGATTTGCAATACTTTCTCCCTTGCGATCACGAAGCACTCTTGTACTGTATTTCCGATGAACTAGGTGAAGAAATTGGAGAAACATGTTCCAGAGCTTGGCAGTGAGCCGGACGACGATGTGGGTTTCGGTGAGTCGACTTGCTGTTGTGTTGCCATCGCCTAACAAGGCCATCATTCCGCACCCAAGCGTTTCTCATTTCGTGCCCGCGTCGCTGCGTTCGGTGCCGATATGTACTCTATTCACAATCCGTTTCATCGATAACTGCGCCAATTGGCGACGTTCTGCAAAACACGAGTGCCCAAGCCTACTCCAAATAGGTGAGCACTTCTCGCGTCGTTGTTTCCTTGCACCAACCCTAAGTCACTCGTTCACACCCAATGCCTGGTCGGCGGGAACCCGGCACGGAACCCTCCGGCGTTGTAGGCGGGTGTGGGAAGCGTTCCCCGTTCTCCTTTTATTTTATTTTGATCGGTCTCCTCGACGCTCTTTCTCGTTTGGTGCGGTAGCTGGTCTTTCTTTCTATCATTTTGTTTCCCTTCCGAGTGGTTTTTGTACCCTATTTTTTTCTGTTTCTTCGTGGGGTCGTGTATGCCGGGTTTTGAGACCACGGGCTCCCAATCTTTTTTTTTTAGAGCCAATGTGAGAAACAACAACAACAACAACAACAACAAACCCGGTTTGTCCTCTCTTTGCGGCGGGACAGACACGTGTGTGTCGGTTTGGTTCTGCTGCTACGTGTGTGTCGGTCGGTTTGGTTTTGCTGCTGCTGTGTTCTTTTTTTGACCTCACCTTGTCCACACCGAGTGGCCAACTTTGGCACGTGTTATCACCAGCTACCACGCATCTCCTCCTCTACAGCTCGCGGCTTTCACTATCTGCATATCACAGAGGGTGTTCGCGTGTGGTTTGCAGCCCACGACAGGGCGTATTGAGGAGGGGCTCGCGATCGGCGACAACTCGCGTGCTAGTTCATATATTCTGCTGCTGCTGTGTTCTGAGTGGTGGGGCATTTTTTTCTACTTCATTTTCTAACGCATACGGAGTGCTGACAACAACGATTTACATCAACAACATCGCATCAACAACATTTTGGGTGTGTGTACCAAAACAAAAGCAACACATATTCACGGGGGGCGCATGACCCAGCCTACTGCAGGTACTTTCCGCAGCACGGGTCATGCTGTTGTGATGGTGCGCGCGGAAAAAACTCCCCCCACTCGGGGTCTAGTATGGGCTGTTCGCCTGAAAGTAGACTCGGTTGTCAGAATTGATGGCATTGGATTGGTCTAAAATATTGTAGGAAGGAAATAAAATCTGTTCAAATGTAGTTCCGTGGGACAAAAATATTGCTCAAAATGAGGGTCACGCGAATGCCTAACAGTAGTGCAAGAAATCTACGGACACCACCGAAAGCGGCACCTGCAGCATTCCCAGGTTTCTGAGCCGCTAGAATGCCACCCCACCTTGTGCCTGGTGTTTGTTGTATTTTCACGACCAATGACAGCGGGTGGACCGGCTCTCAGACGACGGGTGGCTGTAACAGAGACCGCGCAAGGATTTTTGGACAGAGCTCAAGATAGAGGTGAGCCAAAGGTCGAGAACCATGGTCGTTTTGTGTGTTTCTCCGACATTGTCATGGGTGCTGATCCATATGTAGTACTCTCGGAACGGTACCGAGTACTCGGAGCAATAGCTGAGCATGTATTTGCTGTGTTGGGGACGAGTATTTCAGCCATCTTTTTGAAGAAACGTTCCGAAAGGCACAAGAACAAATGTCTGGCGCTAGTTCCTGGTCGTTTGAGATTTCAACCGTACTCCGTATCACGGTTGCGTACGAGTGCGATTTCTTCCCTCCCCCATCCCAACTGTGCACCCCCACCATGTGTGTTCTTGGGGTGATTTCGAAAATGAACTCACGTCAGAGATTATCTTGGCATTCTCTGGCATGCTTACCCTTTCGTGTGTTTGCTTCCACTATCGATGTGTTTCAGCGGCTGGAGCAGCTGACCTCCATCCGGTGACTGTCTCCGAACAAAGAGAGTTCGAGGCCCTGCAGGATGAAAAACATCGTGAACATGAAGAGAGATTCAGAGAGCTCGAGGGAGAGATCAGCAAGGTCGCTAGACGCAAGTGTGAGTCGGCTCAGCATGGGACTTGCTTCTTTCTACACGTCGGCATTGCTGTGGTTTACTCCCTTCTCACACCTGCCAAAAGACTAGTCTATGGCCCTTTTAGTCGTGTGCCATGCTGATTTCTCGATAGTGAACGGCAAACTGTAGCTTTTCAGACACAGCATGTGCAGAAAACTAGTGGTTTAGCTGGCTCGTTCGTTGTTCGTGGTTGTGGCCAATTTTTCACACGAGTTCTGTCATGCTGCTTCATTGGATCTATCGCAAAATTCTGAATGTTTCGTATGCCCGCATTCTCCTTGCGCGTTGAATCCTTCAGTTGCCGCACACCCCACCCCACTTGCTCTCTGGAGGCGATTTTCAAAAGAGCTCACGTCAGAGAGACTCCTGCCATTCTCTTGCATCCTAATGTTGTCGTTTGTTTGTTTGTTCTATTGCTGCGCATCAGCGGCGGCAGCGTCTGACCATGATGTGGCGATGACTGTCAACGAACATAGAGAGTTCGAGGCACTACAGAATGAAAAGCACCGTGGACACGAAGCGAGATTCAGAGAGCTCGAGGGGCAGATCAGCAAGGCTGCCAGACGAACCGGTGAGTCGGCTCAGCACTGGGCTCTCTTTTTTGTATTCGGGGTCGTTGCTGTGGTTTTCCTCTCGTCTCGCGGTAACTGCAAACGAACGCACTGCTCTCGAGAGATTTTTTCGCGATGAATACAGAAGTAGCCAAGCCCAACGAGGTACCATTCCTTGTTTTCTATGATCTCCGCACCCTATTGCCTTACAAGTTGTCCACACTGCTGGGCATATGCTCGTTGACGACGAACCAAAGCGGCTGTGCTCCCCGTGTGCTGTCACCAACGAGATGCCTTTGCAACCCTGGCCCTAACCCAGATGTTCTATCGGGCTTTGTCTCAGCAGGACGCGGATGACCCTCCAGTCGCTTGCGAGAGCGGACGACGTCTCTCTTTTTGGACGTGATCCGACTGCGGATGGGAACGACGTGTCCTCTTTCTGTAGTCGTCACGGCTGGCTCATGGTGCCATGGTGCCATCCATCGTCATGACCGAGGGTATTGTCATCCAGATGTTGTTTCCACATACGGTGGCAACGTGCAAGGGTGTGGAGAGGAGTAACGCGGTTTGGCATGAGAATGACGCGATTGCAACAGTGAGCGCGTAGAGGCAACAAGTCCGGTCCGGTTGGTTTGTGTTCATTGCTCTCAGCTCGGTTTGCCTTTGGCTGCCTACTGTATCGGGATTGGTCGCTTTTCGTGTTCGATCTGGTCGACTCTTGGGCCGATAACCCGCAGTCGTCGGTACCAGCTTGTGCACAGTAGGAGCATCCCTGAAACCCTTACCACACAGGGACGTTCACTGTATGCGGTTGGTGAAAACAACGCGTGAGACCTTCCCAGCATGGGAGGGTTGCCGCGAGGTGTAGTTAACGTCCAGGACAAAGCGAACCTTCTCACACGAGGTGCGCGGAGGATTACATTGATGTGTTTTCCGGAATCCCCCCGTAGGCCTTGGTCTGCGAGGGGTGAGTACCTTAGCAACGTCCCGTGTGGTCGACAAAGAGAAAAGAGTCGACGCCGCGTAAGTGCGACTTTGGGAATGACATGGTCTTGCCAGGCGTTGACGGCTCGTTCTTCCTGGATTGGAGACACACCTACGGAAATACTCCCCGCTTTTTGATACAGAACAGGATTTCGAACTCTCCTTTTGTTCGTTCAACCGGTTCGTCATCCGTATGAGGAGGGTTAGTGATGCACATGCATGCATCCAATGGCAGACCCTCTTCAAGGAGTGGAACGACGTGTGAAGCAGGCCTTCCGCCGGTCATTCGCGCGCGCGGTTTTCCGTGATGCACCGATCATGGCTGAGCACCGACAGTATTCGGCGTGCCGCTGAGAATGCAAAAAGAAAAAATACACCGCAACCTCGCGGTTGTCGTGGCTTGTTTTCTAGTCTGTCACCCCTCATGGCGGACGAGTGCCGCGGAGCAGACCGCTATTAAATCGGTTTCATATCCTGTCCGAAGACCTATTGGCGAATCCTCGACCAAAAGTCAACCATGAGAGGTGTTGCGTAGTTGTTGCATACTTTTCGTCATGATTACATGCAACTTCGATTGGTCTGTGTGGCAGACGAGATGATGCACTATCAATCGGGGTGATGCTGGCGCAAGTATAGAGTCGGCTACAATAGTACTGCTGTAGTGAGGCACTGACCGAAAGCTGCAGAGTAATCCAGGGGCAGCAGCGGCATGTGGAGTGAAGTACCTAAAAACAAGTGACAAGGCGTGGTGGAGGGATGAGGCGAAATAGTTGTTGTTGTTCCAGTCCTCAACCGTCGCGGTCTCCGTTCAGTACCATTTGATGTCCGTACTGGTTCAACTGATGCGGACGCCCTCCGTGGTCACAAGCCAACTGCCTCCAAAGGGGATTCAGTCGAGGGACCTGCATGGTGCCGGTTGAATAGTGCCAGGTGCCCAGAATAGTGCCGGTTAACTCTCTGGACACAGGCAGAGCTCTCAATAGTGCCGGTCTGGCACTATTGAGAGCTTGCCCGGTAAAGTGCCGATTGGGCGGGGCTGTAACCCCCAATAGTGCCGCTTCACTCGCGCGTGCGCACACACGAGTCCGTTTAGCGCGATCGATGCTAATAATAATAACAAACACACGACGAAACCGCCTTGCTTCGCCTGAAGGCATATGATACCAACAGTATTCGGAGACGGTTTCCCTTCGAGCTGGCTCGTTGTCTGTCGGTACGAAATTGCGATGTTTTCAAACGTCATGGACTCGTGATGGACCAATTTCCACCACGGCCAAGGCTGGGATCTCAGTGGCCAGTGCAGAAAAAGAAGATGATGATGGCAATGCAGGGAATTCATTTAGTAGCGATGAAGGGGGAGGGGGAGGAGAGGGAATGAGAGAGGACAAGAGAACAATCAAGACAGCAATCGAGGAGGGAACCATGGAGAGGAAGAGAGCAAGAGCTTTAAGCCGGATGACCTTCCCCACCACAAAACGGCGCAGGGCTGAGTAGAAAAGAACTGCCGAGAAATAGCTGTAATAATGACGATGACTAGAGAGAGTGATGATGCTGGTGAACGCAAGGAGAATGATGGTGTAAGCACCCCAACACGCACTGAAGTGCAAGGTAGCAGCCTTGGTAGACACGTGCAGTTTTCTTCGGTTGCTACCGTGCCTGTCTTTAACCCGAAGAAGTGCTTAGCCGCCCCCTCACGGGGTCCCAGTCAATGATAAAGTGTTTTTTTGTGTTGTCAACCGCACTGAGACTGACGTCTTTTCATTGGTCAGCCGGTTAGCGCGTTCGATGCTACTTGAAAAAATAATCACACGCAACCAGGCAGAAGACAGACAGCACACACAGAGAGGGAGGGTTCACATACTGCTGCAGAGAGAGTCTGACCCGAAAAGCTTCGTAGGAACGGGATCTTTTTAGCATTTTCTGCCGTCACCGGTTAATCGGGTGCATGACGCGTGTCTTCCTTTCGCCGTCGACTAGTGCTAGTGAGGTACTGCTGTAGCCCGAAATGCCACTATGATATTTTTCAAGCAACTCTTGTGGGTTCGACAGGGCGGAGAAAGTTTGCCCACACCCACGCTAGAACATCATTCACGTAAATGTCCATCCATTTGGTACTCTGTACGTAGCTCTGCGTGGGATCCCGTGCGCGCGTGTGCGCGCGCTGCGAAAGCCCGCGGAAAATGTTGGAAACCCCGGGGATTTGGTCAAAATGTTCCCCCCCGGGGACATATCAGGCCGTTGCCCCCCCCCGCGACAAAGATTGACGCATAACTTAGGGAGGTTCCATGGTTTCCACTTGGAGGGCCCCTCGGACTGTACTGTAGTCTACACCTTGTTCCAAAAAATAGGAGTTCTCTACACCAGGAAAATGCAAAGAGGCGTACACCACACTCCGCATGTCCAATAATCAAGAGACCTTCTCGGCAACCAGGCAACCCATTGCTTGTTAGTCGTGAGCAAGCAGAGGGATGGAAAGGAGGCAGGGCGAGCAATCCTAAGGCCGACAGCGCCCCGAACTAGACCACAACAGTAGTCTGAACTCCACACCTTTTCAGGCCGGACGCATGTTCACTTTCCCAGCGGAGGGTGTCATAGGTGAGCCATAGCAGTCAGTATGCTTACCGCTGTAGACTATATCGAACTGTTGGTAAACTCGTGGCTTCTGGGGAAAAGATGTTTTATTGTTGAGATCTTGGACCAGGAGAACAAGTCAAAAGGTGAAGTGAGCAAGGGTGGGGAGCACCACAGCACCGCAGCACCGCAGCCACCACCCGTGTCGCTCGACCAACGCACAAAAGCAGAACACAGTAATATCGGAACACAAAGACTCAACAGACAGTGGCTAACGTACTTCACAGCGTACCGTAAAATCCTCTGACTGATGCACTATCCATAAGAAACACACTCGGGGTAATGCACCATCCACGAAGAACATTCCCACAGAACGTTCCTTGCTGTTCTGATAATATGTGGCTGCTCAACGATCTTCAACGCAGACAGTCCCGTAATGCAACCTGTCTGTCCGATCAAGTTGTTCTACGTCACTCTGTCGACACACACAGCAGCAACTATCACGAACACCCTCCCTTGGGGCTGTTGTCTCGACCAATCAAATATACATCAGAATAACAACAACGAAGATAAAACACAACTCAGGTCTCTAGACTAATTCTTAGAAATCAAACCTAGAGCAAAATTACGATGAACTTCAAAACAACCTCTCGGCAGAGCCTTCGTCAGAATGTCCGCATGTTGTCCTTCGCTAGAGACATGCCTGATTTCCAACACTCCCTCCTCTGTCAAATTCCTGAACAAATGGTGCCTCACGTCAATGTGCTTACTGTTACACGAACTGAGTGGATTCTCAGCAAGTGCAATCGCACCCTCGTTGTCCTCTCGTACCTGAATCTTACCGATTCTATCACTAGGCCTCAAGAACTCGAGCATTCCTTTGACAAACAGAGCCTCTTTTACACCGTCACCCATCGCAACATACTCTGCTTCAGTTGTTGAAAGTGTGACACATTTCTGTGTCCTAGAAATCCAAGCAACAAGACAGTCAGCTACTAGAACTAGTGCTCCCGAATCTGATCTACGGTCAGTGGCCTCACTGGCGAAGTCTGCGTCGACGTAAACCAACGTGCCTACGTCTACCATAGTGTCCTGCTTGTACTTCAAAGTTAGATGTGCCGTTTCCAGAAGATAATTTAGAATCTTCTGAGCAGCCTTCCAGTGGCTTTTATTTGGCTCGTGAGAGTGCCTTGCCACCGCCCGCACAGCATTCGAGATGTCGGGCCTCGTCTGGTTGGCGATCCACATCAAGCTCCCCACCACATCTCGGAACGGCACATCTCCTGCCCCCTCATCCTCAATCACGGACCTGTAATCGTTAGTAAGGGAAGCAGGGATCGAGCTGGTGCGACAAACATTGAATCTCTCAAGAACACTCCTGATGTAACTCTCTTGAGACATCTCAATCGTACCAGCCTCGCGGTCGCGAGCGAATGCGCAACCAAGAAAGAACCTGACCTCGCCCAAATTCTTCGTGGGGAGAGAGTCACCTAGCGCTTCCACAACCATCTCGGCAAGCCTCTCAATTCCTGCATACAGAATGTCATCCACATGAATCGCAATCATACCCAACACCTCGTCTCCCATCATGAAATGAAGAACACAGGGGTCTGACAGAGACTGTTCGAAACCAATCCTCTTCAGGTCCGACACAAGTCTCTTGTGAAATGTTCTAGATGCCTGTCTCAGTCCATACAAACTTTTGTCTAAACGGACTACCTTTCCTGTCATCGATTCACAGCCAGGGGGCAACTTCATGAACACCTCGTGATCCAATTCCGACTGAACAAACGCTTGCTCAATGTCAAAGTGGAGAAATTCCAAATCATACTTGCACGCCAATGCTACCAACAAACGAATCGATGCAGCATTTGCAGTAGGCGAGAAAGTCTCAAGATAATCCACACCATGCTTCTGCTTGAAGCCCTTCGCTACAAGCCTAGCCTTGGCCTTCACTATCTTGCCTGTTATATTTGCTTTCCATTTATAGACCCATCTAGCATCTATCACGTTACAGCCTATTGGAACCTTTACTGCTAACGCGAACGTTCCTGCTCTTAAACAAGCCTTCAAATTCTGCAGACATGGCCTTGTCCCAAATCGAGAAGTATTTTGACTGACGGGCTTCTTTATAGCTACTCGGTTCTGACTCTACGTCCTGAATGAGCACTTTCGGCAATTCCATTGCATCAGATGCTCTCTGTTCCACTAAGAGCGCCTCTATTAGTTCTGATGCGGAGATGGGTCCTAGAGTGGCCATGAGGCCGGTTGCGCTCTGCTGATTTACGGCCCGAGTTTGCGCACGGGTTCTTCCTTCTCTGACTTCAACATTTTCATTCGCAGCAGTGTTATAACTAGCAAGCTCATGCCGCGCACGACGATTAGATGGTACGTGCGTAGCAGGGGGAAAAGACTCCGATTCTACCTCCTGCCCTCCCGGCTCAACCAACTCTTCATCCAACCCTTCCTGATTCTCCGACTCTACCTCCTTCCCTCCCGGACCCGTCGATTCCTCCCCTGTCTCCGGCCCTTCCTGCTCTCCGTCATCGATGAACTCGTCTGCTGGAGAAGACAGGGGGAGCTTCGCTACCAGGGGAACTAATCGCGGGCGAATACGGCACAGAGGGGGGTTGACCTACACTGCCTGCATCAGCACTGCCAACCTCATCGATTGCTTTACCAGAGACCGTTGCATTACGTCTCAAAAGAATGTGGGGAACTCCTCTCCCTAAAAGCGGCCATACCTCAGCTTCTACATCGTCGTCACGTTCCTCCCCTCCCTCCTCTGCGACCTCAATCGGCAAGGGAGACGGTTGCGGTGGAGGGAGTTGTGACGGCAACGCTTCCCACGTCACATTCCTCGTTTCCTGAATAGTGCCAACCCTCGTAAGTACTCTTATGACAGTCACGCGGGTGGTCTCTCGAAGGACCGACATGAAAGCAAGCCTCACCCTTCGGCAGCAGCTTAGACGGTCGCTGCCACCTACACTAAGCCGGTTTCAAAAACGGATACGGTCTAGCAGGACTAGCTTCACCATGCCACATCTCATACGGCGACTTCCTATCGGGGTTAGCGGAACAAGCTGTGTGGTTAATTGCTTCGCAAGCCCAGTGCATCGCCTCAGCCCATAGTCTATCAGTCTTAGGTAATTGCACATGCCCAAACAACACTTTTGCCTGAATACGGGCAGCCATTGCCGCCGCCTCAATCAATCCCAAACCACGCTCTGCAACACCGTTGTATTGGGGACTGTAAGCCGGGATGAAGTCTTGCTTAATCAAGAGCTCGTTGCACACGGACGAAAATTCTCCTCCGAAAAACTCCCCCCCATTGTCAGATCTAACAATCTCAACCAATGATGGGATACCATCTGCACGCACACTTGCGAGGAAACTCCGGAAAGCACTCGCAGCGTTTGATTTACTTTCCAGGAAATACATCCGNATCCCAAACCACGCTCTGCAACACCGTTGTATTGGGGACTGTAAGCCGGGATGAAGTCTTGCTTAATCAAGAGCTCGTTGCACACGGACGAAAATTCTCCTCCGAAAAACTCCCCCCCATTGTCAGATCTAACAATCTCAACCAATGATGGGATACCATCTGCACGCACACTTGCGAGGAAACTCCGGAAAGCACTCGCAGCGTTTGATTTACTTTCCAGGAAATACATCCGTGTACGTCTTGTGAAATCATCCTTCACTATCATGGGGTAATGTTTACCCCCTACGGACGCAACGTCCTTCCGCCCTCCCAGGTCAACAAAAACTCTGCCCAACTTTTTGTCCGATCTGCATTTTGTTTCATGAGCAATCCCTTTCTTGAATGCCTTCGACATCGAACATCCCGTACAAGCATGCATTTTGCCGGTCAGTTGAATACCTAATCGTTTTGCTGCTGTACGAAGTAATCTCTCATGTGAATGAGCATAAATGTTATGAAACTCGTTCACATCCATCTTAGATTCATGCTTGGGGTTTGAAGGATTGGGGGCAGCTAACACCGAACCAACAGAGGTATTCTCTAGACGATACGCAACAGCAATGAGCATGCCATCGAAACTCTGGAAATTTACTGTTCTGTCGAAAGTAGTCATCATACCATCAAGACCACCGAAACTATTTCATAACTTACCATCAAATACTGCGCTGGGAGAATAGAGGTTGCACAAACCTTCAACCCTACTGAACACTCGCTGTCAGCAATCACAAACACTTCCTCCAGGGTTCCAGACGGTCTACTTCACAAGTAACGCCATCAATCCCTCTTGCGTTCTAATAGCAATCCTTTACATCGTTAACGCTAGAGAGAGTCTGTCATGTGGAAAGCAGTACCCGTGTCCGTAACACCATATTTGTCTTCCTCACAAGAAATAAAGAGTATTTGCGGACAGCATCATCACTTGACAAGCACTCCAGCAGCATAACCTCGTAATACTCTACCAGACACGTCAGATCATGCGAGTTGTTCAATCTGGTTTGAGAAAATAGCACCATGTCAGACTTCTCACCATTGTCTAGTCTTCCTGGCGCAGCACATCCACACCGAATCCTTGCTGCACCGAGGGGGTCAAGCCGACTTCAAGGCTTGCGATCGGAATTTCCACTTCAGAAGTAAATGCTTCTAACAAGTTGTTGTGTCGGGCACTCAGTAGAAAGTTTTGTGACCATGACGGGTATGCGACGTCCGATCCGTCAAACACAGGAGCTGTGGGAACTTTAAAAGGGCTCCTACCCAAGTTTTCTCCTGGTTCTGTGATGCCGGTGCCGGCCCCAGGAATCAATGTGGTTCCACTGGCGACATTTTCCCATCACCTACTCGACGCTGTAGGTGCGGGTGGAATAGAAGACTGGCTACTGAAGGCCCCACTACCTATTCCTGGAATGAAAAGACTGACTACCAAAAGCCCTACTTCCCATCCCAACCGAACCAAAGCTTGTGACACCAGCAGAGGAACGGTTAACAGCAGTATCGTGAGGGTTCAAGCCTGTGCTTGCAACACTACTATTCCCAACTCTCACGCTAGACATGCCAAGGCCTTGGGCACTACTGGCCGTACCTCCCGCAGTCCTGCCAGTGACATCCGATTGATACACACCGGCGTACTCTGTTCCGCCGCTTCCCGGCGCAGCAGCAAATGAAACAGAGGACTCCACCTGATCACCTCGTTGCCCAACAAGCGACTTAATGATGCTCGTGAGCTGGGACAACTGTGTCTCAATCGAATCCAATCTCTCACCACCAACAACATCCTGCGAATCACCCGGAGATGGGTCATCCACATGATCCCCAGCAGGCCCGGGCATCACGAAGCAAGGTGATCAATCTTCCTCCGTTCAGTCTTGACGTACAGTCCGAGGGGACAAGCAGCAGTCGACTGGTGACGCTATAGCGTGTTGGTAAACTCGTGGCTTCTGGGGAAAAGATGTTTCATCGTTGAGATCTTGGACCAGGAGAACAAGTCAAAAGGTGAAGTGAGCAAGGGTGGGGAGCACCACAGCACCGCAGCACCGCAGCCACCACCCGTGTCGCTTGACCAACGCACAAAAGCAGAACACAATAATATCGGAACACAAAGACTCAACAAACAGTGGCTAACGTACTTCACAGCGTACCATGAATCCTCTGACTGATGCACTATCCATAAGAAACACATTCGGGGTAATGCACCATCCACGAAGAACATTCCCACAGAACGTTCCTTGCTGTTCTGATAATATGTGGCTTCTCAACGATCTTCAACGCAGACAGTCCCGTAATGCAACCTGTCCGATCAAGTTGTTCTACGTCACTCTGTCGACACACACAGCAGCAACTATCACGAACACGAACCAATCCGTACCACAAATATCTGGACCTACAGCAGTAGTACCTGTATGAGAAGCTTCCCAGCATAGTCAAACAGTCCGGTTCGTACCGAATAGGATGCGAAGGTGCGCAAGTTGGCGCAGGTTTTCGATCGACCCTCTACATACTGGAGTATCTACGTAAACCAAATTACCTTTTTTACTCAGTGGGTCTGTGCTGGGGGATCGGAGATACATCGCAGAAAGCTGTATGCTAACAGCGATGAACAAAAAAAAAAGAAGGGGGAAAAGGGTCGTGATTTCCCCTTTCCCGTGCCGCCCATCCGACCCTGGTTGTGATAGATATACTTGTAGCAATGCCAAGTGGTTGGTGCTGGGTGTTCCCATGGAATGAGGTAGAGCGGAATACCGGGTGACATGTGTGGTACGTAGAATGGATTCCAGGGATGTAGATCTACAAGGTACTCCTGTTGTGTACGGCGTCGCCCCCTCAACCCCTCAACGGGGCTTGTGTGTGTGTATGTGGATACAACTAATCACAACAAGTTTTTCTCCTCGGCGCAAGGCCGCCGAGTTGCCGATACCCTATTCAACACGCATCTCGCGACAAGCTACCCGCAGTTCGGATTATCCTAACACGCTAGCGTTTGACATCATACGGGATCCCGAGGTGGGGCTAGCTACAAAAGGGTTCGGCCAGAGAACAGTGACACGGAAATCATGGAGTAGCAGCTGGATGAGCTCCAGCTCTCGGACGAGCAGCGAAACGTAATCGACGCTCTTGTCAAGGAGCAGGTTAAGATCAAAGTAGAAGAAGCAGCAGCAGCAAAGCGCCCCGCAACACAGAGCGAGGGCATGCCTTCCCAAGGAGGCGACACCCAGCTGGAGAGGCCGGCTGGCTCGGAATCAAGCCCGCGACCCGAAGACCAGCCCCGATCGCCGGCGGACGTCAGCCTCATCGACACCCTCGCGCGGGCGTTGCAGAGGGTCAAGATACAAGCGAAGGATGAATACAGGGAAGTCCCAACCCCTAAAGAAACAATACGTATTAGCGCAGGTTATCACAATCCCTGCATTCACCGGGAAGTTTAGCCCCGAGGACGATGTACAGACGGCGGTAATAGTTTTTACCAGTCAATTTCGATCTTCGTTGGAGCGGGAGCGTTGCCTTGGGGCAATAGAATCGAAGAACACGATTCGTGTAGGGAAGACGGATGCGAATATCTCGGCATTGAAGATGGAACATGGGACGGAAGCTGTAGATCGGGCGGTTAAGGCTTCACAGCTAATCATATCCAAAATACAAGTACCGACAATTGTCCCTGCAATCCTAGCTAGTGGTTGCCCCACTGAATCGTGGGATCAATTTCTCAACTTTTACTGAGTGCGCGCAGAAACGGACAAGTTGGAGTTGCAGGGGCAGTGGTACTCGTGAAGCAGCAAGTAGGGGAGGAGCCCCGGCGCTATCTCACAAGAGCATCATTACTTCGCCAGAAACTAGAAGCGTACGGTTGGATGCAATCCGATCATGATGCTAACATCCACTATGTACGCAACCTTCTGCCCGATTTCAATGTGCAGAGGAGCGTGTTGTTGGTGCATTCGGAGGTCAAGACGGAGTTGGTAGAGCAGGTGATTCTGACTGCCTAGGCGGAGACGGAGGCCGCTAGGAAGAGGGCGTCGGAGAGCGTGGGGGCGTATGCCCTCGTCACTGGCGGTGATAACCGTGGTGGCGGGGGCGGGAACATGGGGGACAGGGGGAAGACGAGAGGACAAGGGAGGACGGCAGCGCGGCACAGCAGCAACAACCCCAGCAGCCACAGTAGCAGCATCAGCCGTACTTCAAGCAGGAGCAACAGGTATACCCACCGCCGTACCCGCCTGAGATAAAATGTTGTGACCTCCACAACTCCTCGTCCCACAGCAACGAGGAATGTCGCTTGCAGCGGGGTTGGGGAGGTCCCTCGGGCGGCCAAGGTGCGAGCTACGGCGGAAGGCACGGGCCCCAGCATGGGGGCCGGGTTTTTTCTGGAGGAGGACGTCATCAGCAGCAGCAGCAAGGAGGAAGATTCGGGGGGCGTGGCGCCGCTTCCGGTGGGAGGGGCAAGGGCCCTTTCCACCAGGGACCGCCGGGCAGCAACCTCCCCGCCTACCCTGTACCTCAGCGGGGCTACGACTACAGCGCCTACCCCCCTCACATGTACCGCCCGCAGGGAAATGAACCTCCCACACCCGAATAACCCTCGCAAGCGGTGTGAGAACTGCGGTGAACTCGGCCACAACCATATANGGAGGGGCAAGGGCCCTTTCCACCAGGGACCGCCGGGCAGCAACCTCCCCGCCTACCCTGTACCTCAGCGGGGCTACGACTACAGCGCCTACCCCCCTCACATGTACCGCCCGCAGGGAAATGAACCTCCCACACCCGAATAACCCTCGCAAGCGGTGTGAGAACTGCGGTGAACTCGGCCACAACCATATATTCTGTCCTTCGCGTGTTGATGTCGGAAGGCCAGCTGGCATGCCGGCCGCCAACGCGCCGCCTAGGCCCCCACCGCTCCGGCCGCCGGCCGGTGGCTACAACCAGCGGCCGCCGTGGGCCCACTTGTACAGGCAGGCCAACACCACGCAGCAGTACGGCGGAGAAGGGGTGGAGCCAGGAGCAGCAGGAGCGACGGTGGCGACGACGGCAGCATCATCAACAGGGGGCCATGCAGTGATGCACGTGACCGGTGTTTATCAACAACCGGTGACGCACGCGAGCGGTGTGTACGAATACCCACCCCAACAGCAGCAGCCGGAGTACCTATCCCCCCCTTCCAACAGCAACAGCCAGTCCCCGCCCCTTACGCCTCTCCCGTGCCTTCGACCGGAACACCTTCGTCGGCAGGGGGGACTTTGCATGCGTGTGTTGTAAGGGACATGTCAAGCAAGTACCAGAGTGAGATTTCGAGTGGATTCGTACGGGGTGAGGGGTATGCCTTGATGAACTCTACACCGGCTGTGAGGGCGGAGCGTGTAGGAGTTGCAGAATGGCTTGCAGACTCCGGTGCAACTAACCACACCACTGGAGACCCCACGAACATGTACGATGTGATCATCCCGCCCCTCGGTAGCGAGAGAGTGCAGATCGGTGATGGCAGGACGATGCGAGTGCTTGGAATCGGATGTTTAAACGTGAGGTTTTATCTTGAAGGTAGAGATTTTTGCGTGAAGCTTACCCAAGTACGTCATGTAGAAGGAATGGGGTTCAATCTTTTCTCCCTCGACNCCCACCCCAACAGCAGCAGCCGGAGTACCTATCCCCCCCTTCCAACAGCAACAGCCAGTCCCCGCCCCTTACGCCTCTCCCGTGCCTTCGACCGGAACACCTTCGTCGGCAGGGGGGACTTTGCATGCGTGTGTTGTAAGGGACATGTCAAGCAANCGACCAAGCACAGGGATTGCAACGTATTGCCTTGGACGACGTAGGTACCCATCTTTTCCATGGCCAATTGACCTTTCCCCGTGGCGAGAGGGGTTCGTCGCTTTGGGCCACTCGCTTGCCGTCCAACTATGAAACGCCCACCGCTGTGCCTGTAATGCCTTTTTCCCCGGTGCCCCCTCCCCGCGCTGCTGGTGTACGATTACATGCCAGTGATGGTAGAGTGATGCCAGAAACACCACCGGTGTTTCCCCCCTCTCCGGGTGTAGCATACGTTCCTTCCGCAGTGTCAGGTGTCCCGCCTNTGCGAGTGCTTGGAATCGGATGTTCAAACGTGAGGTTTCATCTTGAAGGTGGAGACTGTTGCGTGAAGCTTACCCAGGTACGTCGTGTAGAAGGAATGGGGTTCAATCTTTTCTCCCTCCACAAAGCACAGGGATTGTAACGTATTGCCTTGGACGACGTAGGCACCCATCTTTTCCATGGCCAATTGACCTTTCCCCGTCGCGAGAGGGGTTCGTCGCTTTGGGCCACACGCTTGCCGCCCAACTATGAAACGCCCACCGCTGTGCCTGTGATACTTTTTTCCCCTGTGCCCCCTCCCCGCGCTGCTGGTGTACGATTACATGCGAGTGATGGTAAAGTGATGCCAGAAACCCCAACGGTGTTTTCCCCCCTTCCGGGTGTAGCATACGTTCCTTCCGCAATGTCGGGTGTCCCGCCCGCTAAAAGCAGCGTAGTGCGTCCGGTGATGTCTGTACCTCATACCGCTCCCAGGAGTGTTATTCAACCCACCGTGTCGAATTTTCCGCCCGCTTCTGCCGGCGTCGTACCTTCCACGGTGTTCGGTTTCCCGCCCGCTGCCAACAGCGTAGTGCCCTCTAGTGTGCCCGGTTTCCCGCCCGCTGCAAACAGCGTAGTGCCCTCTACTGTGCCCGNCCTTCCGCAGTGTCAGGTGTCCCGCCCGCTGAAAGCAGCGTAGTGCCTCCGGTGATGTCTGTACCTCATACCGCTCCCAGGAGTGTTATTCAACCCACCATGTCGAACTTTCCGCCCGCTTCTGCCGGCGTCGTACCTTCCACGGTGTTCGGTTTCCCGCCCGCTGCCAACAGCGTAGTGCCCTCTAGTGTGCCCGGTTTCCCGCCCGCTGCAAACAGCGTAGTGCCCTCTACTGTGCCCGATTTCCCCGCCCGCTGCAAACAGCGTTGTGTCATCAATTGTGTACGGTCTCCCGCCCGCTGCGAGCAGCGTCGTTCCTCCGGCAATGTATGCCCCCCCCCCCGCTGACAGGAGTGTGATGTTTCCTTCCGCTCCTCAAGTGCAGCATGGTATGGAGTTGGTAGCTGTTCCCGGGCTGCCCTCGCCCGACATCTCCATTTCTCAGGAGAGTAATGACGATGATGACCGTGGATGCATTCCGTACACAAAGCAGGGAGATCACGAGTGGGCTGTGTACCTATTGGAACAAAGAGAGGTATCATAAGACCCCTACGAGTTTTGAGAGTTGATGTTTAAGGCTGGATTTGCAAATGTCTTAGATGATGTTGCTTTCGCTGTCTCCGTCATCGCCCCGGGCAAGCGCCCTTTTTCGGTGGGGAAACCCACCAAGATTATTGACGTTAACCTTCTCCACATTTCATGCTCCCACGCCAATGAACTTCTTGTGCGTGAGCTTGCGAAGCAGCACGGTCTCCGACTGACCGGTGTCCTGCAGCCTTGTGGTGGATGTCTGCAGGCGAAGGCGAAGAAGGCGGGCGTGCCTCACCAATCGGGCACGCGTGCGGAGCGGCCGCACGATCTTTGGCATATCGATCTGTGTGGGCCGATGACGGCCTCGCTGGGGGGGTCGTTTTTCATGATCATGTTCGTGGA